CATGGGCATGGGCATGGGCATGGGCAATGGGCAATGGGCTGGGCATGGGCCTGGGCATGGGCATGGGCATGGGCATGGGGATGGGCATGGGCATGGGCATGGGCATGGGCATGGGCATGGGCATGGGCATGGGCATGGGCATGGGCATGGGCATGGGCATGGGCATGGGCTTGGGCATGGGCCTGGGCATGGGCACGCACATGGGCATGGGCATGGGCACGGGCATGGGCATGTGCATGGGCATGGGCATGGGCATGGGCATGGGCATGGGCATGGGCATGGGCATGGGCATGGGCATGGGCATGGGCATGGGCATGGGCATGGGCATGGGTATGGGTATGGGCATGGGCATGGGCATGGGTATGGGCATGGGCATGGGCATGGGCATGGGCATGGGCATGGGCATGGGGATGGGCATGGGCATGGGCATGGGCATGGGCATGGGCATGGGCATGGGCATGGGCATGGGCATGGGCATGGGCATGGGCATGGGCATGGGCATGGGCATGGGCATGGGCATGGGCATGGGCATGGGCATGGGCATGGGCATGGGTATGGGTATGGGTATGGGCATGGGCATGGGTATGGGTATGGGTATGGGTATGGGCATGGGCATGGGCATGGGCATGGGCATGGGTATGGGTATGGGTATGGGTATGGGCATGGGCATGGGCATGGGGCATGGGTCATGGGTATGGGTATGGGCATGGGGCATGGGCATGGCATGGGGCATGGGCATGGGCATGGGCATGGCATGGGCATGGGCATGGGCATGGGCATGGGCATGGGCATGGGCATGGGGCATGGCATTGGGCATGGGCATGGGCATGGGCATGGGTATGGGTATGGGTATGGGCATGGGCATGGGTATGGGTATGGGTATGGGTATGGGCATGGGCATGGGCATGGGCATGGGCATGGGTATGGGTATGGGTATGGGCATGGGCATGGGCATGGGCATGGGCATGGGCATGGGTATGGGTATGGGTATGGGCATGGGCATGGGTATGGGTATGGGTATGGGTATGGGCATGGGCATGGGCATGGGCATGGGCATGGGTATGGGTATGGGTATGGGCATGGGCATGGGCATGGGTATGGGTATGGGTATGGGTATGGGCATGGGCATGGGCATGGGCATGGGCATGGGTATGGGCATGGGCATGGGTATGGGTATGGGTATGGGTATGGGCATGGGTATGGGCATGGGCATGGGCATGGGCATGGGCATGGGTATGGGCATGGGCATGGGCATGGGCATGGGCATGGGCATGGGCATGGGCATGGGCATGGGCATGGGCATGGGCATGGGTGCATCACCTGAGGGTGCACGAGATCATGTGAGTCGCTGCCACCGATGAGATCCGACAGCCACTCAAACACCTGAGAGAGATGATGGTGGTGGTGAAGGGGGGAGGAGGGGGGAGGAGGGGGAGGAGGGGGAGGAGGGGGGAGGAGGGGGGAGGAGGGGAGAGGAGGGGGGAGGTCTTCACCGTCCTAACCAGATCGAATTTGTTCCTTCTCTGACTCATGCATGTGATTCGGCCAACACCCACCAATCACAACACCCACCAATCACAGTCCCTCTCTTTCACCTCTTCTCCAGCTCTGTGCTCACCTCTACCATTACTCGGAGCACAAAGAGAAACGGAGCACAAAGAGAAACGGCAGAGAGCACAAAGAGAAACGGCAGAGAGCACAAAGAGAAACGGCAGAGAGCACAAAGAGAAACGGCAGAGAGCACAAAGAGAAACGGCAGAGAGCACAAAGAGAAACGGCAGAGAGCACAAAGAGAAACGGCAGAGAGCACAAAGAGAAACGGCAGAGAGCACAAAGAGAAACGGCAGAGAGCACAAAGAGTAACGGCAGAGAGCACAAAGAGAAACGGCAGAGAGCACAAAGAGAAACGGCAGAGAGCACAAAGAGAAACGGCAGAGAGCACAAAGAGAAACGGCAGAGAGCACAAAGAGAAACGGCAGAGAGCACAAAGAGTAACGGCAGAGAGCACAAAGAGAAACGGCAGAGAGCACAAAGAGAAACGGCAGAGAGCACAAAGAGAAACGCCAGAGAGCACAAAGAGAAACGGCAGAGAGCACAAAGAGAAACGGCAGAGAGCACTCACCTCTCCTGCAGACACCAGAGGGCACTCGTCCCCTCCCCCCTCACTCCGCCTCTTTCCCTTCCCTCCCGCCCTTGCTCCTCCTGCCTTCGTTCTCAGGACTGCTACATGCTGGGACACCCTCCTCTGCTTCCATAACCCCCTCACTCCCTCTCCCGCCCCCACTTGTTGCTGTCGCAGCAGCACAACAGCAGGACATGCTCCTGATCTCAAACCCGCCTTGCCATCCCTGGTCTCTCCCCCCCACCTGCCCCAGCTCCATCCGCCAGTCAGAGAGCTATTCGGCTGCCTGAGGGGGAAGAATGGAGAGCCGATGAATTGGAGGGAGATGGAGTTGGCATAGTCTTGAAAGGAGGAGGAGAGGGAGGAGAGGAGGTGGGAGGAGAGGAGGAAAAACTGGTCGAGATAGTGAGTGGTGTAGTGAGAGAGAGAGGGGGATGTGCAGAGGGCGAGGATGGAAGGGGGAGGGGAGAAGGGAGGGAAAGGGAGGTAAAGTAGGAATGAGGAGAAGAGGCGTGAGAAGGATGAGGTGATAGCGGAGGGAAGGGCACGGAGAATGGGAGAGAAGAGCGGGGAGAGAAAGAGTGTTAGTTTGGCTGTGATGCTGGGTAGGAAGTGAGAGTGAGGGTGGGAGTGAGGGTGTGACTGAGTGTGGGAGTGAGGGGAGAGGGAGAGGAGGAAGCGGCACATGGCGGGCTGTTGGGAGGCATCCAGCCAGGAGAGGAAGAGGCGGTGGGAGGAGAAGGCAGTGTAGGGGGGAGAGGAGGCGGAGGAGGGTGGGTTTTCTAGAATGCGCTTGAGCTTACGGATCTCCTGTTGGTGGTGTGGTTGGGGGATTGTGAGGGATGCAGGGGAAAGTGGGGGAAGGAAGAGGATACGATGCGACAGAGTTAATTTTTTTAGAGCCAACTCAGATGAGCATGAGTAGTGTAAACATCACATATTCCGTTGTAACAGGGCAGAAACATTCGTCGATATATCCGTCGCGTTTCGTTGAGGCCTCCTCAAAGCAGGTTCAAAGCTGGCCACAGCTAAAGGGGCATTTGGCTGGGAGAGCACACACACTGCAAGGGGACTTTTGAGTCCACTCAAAAGCCACCTAAGAGGCATTTGGGAGAGAGCACACATACCCCAAGGGAAAAGGCAAAGGAGGAGGCGTTGGCGAGAGCAAGGTCTGCTGAGTGGCCGATGAGAACGAGAGAGTACCAGGGGCCATGTGGGGGGAGAGAGGGGCGGGATGAGGACGAGGAGGAGGAGGAGGAGGAGGAGGAGGAGGAGGAGGAGGAGGAGGAGGAGGAGGAGGAGGAGGAGGAGGAGGAGGAAGAGGAAGAGAAGAGGGAGAAGAGGGGGGGGGAAACTGGGACATGGACGCGAAGGAGAGGTGCTGACTCTTTGTGCAGGGGAAGGAGATCTGTCAAAGGGGGAAGGGGCGTGCGAGGGATGAAAGGAAGCACAATTTTTTAGGCGCCTCAAAAAGGAGGCACTTTTTTTTCGGCGCCTCAAAGAGGAGGCACAACGTAAGGGCATGGTAGGGTAGTGTGAGGCGATGGTGTGGGGTGGGTGTGCATATGTGTGCACAGCGCTCTTGTAAGCTGTGGAGAACCTGTCTGTCACATAGCCTATCCTCGCTCTACACAGAAACCGGCACGTGATCTGCTTGACTTGACAATCAGAAGGAGATTGATAGAAAGGCTCACCTGGAGAGTGGTTCTTGGAGAGAACGTCCTGTAGCCTGTCCTTGCTCCATTTCCCTGGGCACAGCAAGCGAGGAGCAGAAAGAAAGCAGGGAGGGGACAGGGGAGCGCACGGGGCAAGGAAAACAGAGCGAGCGAGGCAAGGCGTCAAGGGAAGGGAGGAAGAAAGAAGGGGGGAGGAAATGAAGACGAAACAACTGAGATGAGTGTGATAGCCCTGCAGGGAGGGCTACCACACGAGGAGAGAGAGGAGTGAAGAAAGTGGTGCCACACGGTGTTGCCGTGCAGAACACACGGTGGGAGACAGCAACAAAGTGTGCGTGAATGAACAGCCGCCGCTCTGTGTGGGGTACAAATACAAATGCAAATACAAATACAAATACAAATGCAAATACAAATACAAATACAAATACAAATACAAATACAAATACAAATGCAAATACAAATACAAATACAAATACAAATGCAAATACAAAACGGCCGTTTGCTCCTCCTCCTACCTGTGACAACAAGAGGATCCCTGAGCGCGTCCTTAAAGATGAGGAGGCACGGCAGACGGCGCAAGCCCAGGCTGGTGACGCAGGGGTGGGGGGGGGGGGGCAACGGGGGGCAGCGGGAGGGTGGAGCAGGGAAGGGGAGAGAGAGTGGCAGAGTGACGAGATTATGAGGTTTGAGCGTGAAGTAAGGAGATACGGCAAGCGGTGCAAGCTCCGCCTGGTGATGCAGGGGTGAGAGGGAGGCAACAGGAGGTAGGGGGAGGGCGGAGCGGGGAGGGGAAAGGTATGGTAGACGGAGAGGGAGGGGGGAAGGGGGGGGTATAGTGGAGGGCACATCGAGGAGAGAGTATTTGTGACATGACAACTGCAGTGAAAGTCTCCCTCTTGAGGCAGATCCCCGGACATAATTCCAGTGACCGAGGTGTTGGATTGGAAGACGTCTGGAAGGCACATCGAGGAGGGAGAGTATATTAGTGATATGACAAGTGTGGTGAAATTCTCCCTGGTGATGGGAGGAAGCTGTACAGCCTTCAGGGCTGAGGCTTTACAAAAAAAGGAGGAGTTTTTACTAATTGGGTTGCTCATACTCACCGCGGCGCGAGGGCGTTGAGGTGGTGTGGGTGGAGGCCGACTGAGGAGAAGTGGAGGGAGGAGTGCCAGCGCGGGTCTGCTGCTGCTGCTCTCAGGTGCAGGAGAAGAGTGGCTGCTGCTGACGAGGATGGCGAGGAGGAGGATGAGTCGTCGACTGGGACTGCTGCCACTACGACTGTCTTTTGGAATGAGAAGCGGAGAGGGAGGGGCTCCTGCAGACCCAGTGGAAGGAGAAGAAGGAAAGGTGGCGGAGGGGAGCAGTGGGGATGTTCTCAAACGGTTTTTAAGTTACCAGGGAAGAAGGTGCAAAATTGCAGATGGAGGTAAGTGGCAGGAGAAGGGGAGAGAAAAGGTGGGGTAAGGGAGGGGAGAGGGAAGGGCCCTGGGGGAAAATGAAGAAGACAATAGTTTGGCACGTCGGCTTGTAACACTAAATGGCCATAAGAGAGACGAGAGTGCATGACGTGTGGCTATGCTTGATATACATGCGCTTTTCTCTATTGTGCGTGTGTGTGTGGTTGTGTGTGTGCATGCGTGCGTGCACGTGTGTGTGTGCCTCTGTGAACAGACAAGTCTGTGTGCACAGGAGGACGTACCAGGAGCGAAGGTGAGACGGCCGGGAGGTATGGCAGGAGCAGGAGGGAGTCAGTGAGGAAGGAGCGCAGGGAGGAGGGCGAGGCAGAGGCCCACACGGACGAGCAGCATGAAATGTCACGGCAGGAGGGGGTGAACGCCACAAAGGCGGGGAAACCTGGAGCATGGGTTGGATTGAAGGGGGGAGACAGGCGGGAGGTAGGGAGGTAGGGCAGGAGGAGGAGGGAGAGAGGTGGAGGCACAGCGCAGGGAGGAGTGTGAGGCAGAGGCCCACACCGAGAGCAGCAGGAAATGTCACGGCAGGAGGGGGTGAATGCGACAAACGCAGGGAAGCCTGGAGAAAAAGGGGGGGGGGGGGGTGTGAAAGAGAGAGGGAATGGGGAGGGAGAGAGGTGGAAGAGCGGCAGGCAGGGGTGAAGTGAATGCCGCAAAGGCGGGGAAGCCTGGTATAAAATGGAGGGGATGAGGGGATGGGGGATGGGGGGATGGGGGAGAGTGAAGGGGAAAATGGACGGATGAGGGGGGGTGGAAAAGACTTTTGAGGCGCCTCAAAAGTCGGATGAGGGGGGGTGGAAAATACTTTTGAGGCGCCTCAAAAGTCGGATGAGGGGGGGTGGAAAATACTTTTGAGGCGCCTCAAAAGTCGGATGAGGGGGGGTGGAAAATACTTTTGAGGCGCCTCAAAAGTCGGATGAGGGGGGGTGGAAAATACTTTTGAGGCGCCTCAAAAGTCGGATGAGGGGGGGTGGAAAAGACTTTTGAGGCGCCTCAAAAGTCGGATGGGGGGGGGTGGAAAATACTTTTGAGGCGCCTCAAAAGTCGGATGAGGGGGGGTGGAAAAGGGAGCAGAAGGCGAAGGAGGAGCGGAAGCGCTTGTGGTTGGCGAGTACAAAAGCCCTATGCCGTAACCGATCCTCGGACATAGTTCCACAAACCTTGAACCCTCTCATTACTGACAACCATCAACCAAGCACCAATCAACCACCACCCCACCACAAGTCAAGCCACCCACCGGAGCCAAACCCAAAGGAGGAGCGGAAGCACTGGTGGTTGGCGAGCACAGACGCCAGGCGGCGCTGCTCCGACACCTCCACCCGGCCAAAGCGCACCACACCCTCAAACTCAGCCGCTGGGGGGGAGGGGTTGGGGGTGGGTTGCAGGGAGCGAGTAGGGGGTTAACGACAGGTGAGCAAGGCACTTAGTGCTTTTGAGGCGGCTCAAAACTTGAGAGTGCTTTTGAGGCGCCTCAAAAGCACGCGAGTAGGGGGTTAACGACAGGTGAGCAAGGCACTTAGTGCTTTTGAGGCGTCTCAAAACTTGAGAGTGCTTTTGAGGCGCCTCAAAAGCGCACGAGTAGGGGGTTAACGACAGGTGAGCAAGGCACTTCTGCAACTTCTGCGATGAGAAATTTGTCCATGAAAGGCGAAACCTGGACCTTACAGGAAGGAATAGAAAAGAATAAGAAAAGGCAAAAACACGAGGGAAAATAGCACTCTCAACCAGTCTCTCTCTCCCAGTCACTCTCAACCAGTCACTCTCTCAACCAGCCACTCTCTCCCAGTCTCTCTCTCCTAGTCTCTCTCTCCCAGTCACTCTCAACCAGTCACTCTCTCAACCAGCCAATCTCTCCCAGTCTCTCTCTCCTAGTCTCTTTCTCCCAGTCTCTCTCTCCCAGTGCAGGGCAAAGGCCGCGACTGCAGCGCCGGCGAGCAGATAAAGAAGACACATGGCATGACTCTTACCACTCAGACACTGTGGCATATACAACCCCCCCCCTCTGTGAAGGCAGGCAAAACTCCCACCCAGTCTCTCTCTCCCAGTGCGGGGCGAAGGCGCGGGACTGCGGCGGGTAGATGGAGAAGACACATCGCATCTACCCCCCGTCCCCCCAGACACTATTTTGCATCTACAGCCAGTCCCTGTGTAGATGGACAGCAGGACATCACCCACCAAGTCTCTCCCAGTGCGGAGCAAAGGCACGGGACTGCAGCGAGTAGATGGAGAAGACACTCCCCCCCCCCCCCCCACTCTCCCCTAACGAACCCAGCGTCTCTCCCTCCCCCCAGAAGACAGACAAGAGGACAGCACCCACCCAGTCGTTCCCAGTGCGGGGCGAAGGCGCGGGACTGCGGCGAGTAGATGGAGAAGGCACAACAAGCATAGCATCTATTCCCTGTGCGGATACCAAACAGGACAGCACCCACCAAGTCGCTCCCAGTGTGGAGCAAAGGTGCGGGACTGCGGCGAGTAGATAGAGAAGATCTGGATGAGCCACGCGTCCCCGCCGCCCAGCACCTGCTGCCCAAAGTTGACAGCTGTCAGCGTCTTAGTGGCCGACGGCATGAGCTCTGAGGGCGAAGGAAAGGGAGGAGGAGGATGGGGGGGAAGGGAGAGGAGCGGAGAGGGAAGAAGGAAAGGAAGGGGTGAAGGAGGAAGTGAGGGGGGGGGGAGCTGTTAGAGATAGGCTGCAATTCGGTTGGCACAACTTTGTGTGTTGGCACTTTGTTGGTTTTAGGGATATCCATGTTTGTTAGGTTGGGTGTAGTTATGTTTTCATCCCCAACCTATCCCAACCCAATCTATCCCAAATCCCCACGATTTGGGAGGATTCCCTTGGGATTCCCTCTGATTCTCCCTTATCCCTTCCCATCTTCTCCTATGCTAGGTACTTAAGAATGTATGCTCTTGCTCATTTTGTCAATGAAGTTCTCAATTTCTAACATGGTATCAGAGCTCGTTTCCGCCTAAGTGGCTCTTGATCCTCTCGCTCCGTTGGAGCTTAGCATTTGCGTCTTACGACACAAAGCTTTTCTAGCCGTCTCAACTCTGCGCGGCGCTTCTCCTCGGGCTGACGCCCGTCGCCCCGCATCTGCTCGTCGCACCTGATCAGGCTGAGCCCGTCGCCCCGCATCTGCCCGTCACACCTGATCGGGCTGAGCCCGTCGCCCGGCATCTGCTCATCGCACCTGATCGGGCTGAGCCCGTCACCCCGCATCTGCTCGTCGAAGCTGGACGGGCTGTCGCCCGTCGCCCTTGCAACAGCGGGGGGTGCAGCGGCGAAGCGGACAAGGGAGCAGCGGCGAAGCGGAAAGGGGGCAGCGGCGAAGAGGAAAGGGGAAAGGGGGGGGGTCGCGGAGCAGCAAGATTGCAGCAGCATATCGAGAATTTTCATAGATTTCCGTCGTTCAGATTTCCTTCTTAATCGGCCATAATCGCTCTCCGAGTGTTGAAAATCCGCAAAGGAAAATCTAGTATTTCGCGGAGCCCGCGCTGCCTATCGGCGACTTAAGAGCTGCGCTACACGCGGAGAAAGGGTTCTTGGAGCATCATGGCGTACCCTTCCGCGTCACTCTCGAACCCAATCACTCTCTTGCGCCTCGACCCAAATGGCTCAAGCCCTAACTTTAAGGAGTGGAGCTATGGGGTTGATAAGCATCTCCTAAGCCGCAAAATTGAGGGGATTTGCCTCAAGGATGTCCTCCTCAATCGCGGCAAAGGAAAGATGCCGGTCCTTCCCAAGAAGCTCTCGGCCACAGCCACAGAGGAAGAGTCAAAGGCGCATGAGGAATCCATGTACAAGTATGGGGAATCTTACAGCATGTGGGAGCAAGCCGACGCCGCTATTATCGGCGTCTTCGTCAGCACTACCCCTTCCGAGCTCGTCAAAACTTACCATAACTACCCTTCCGTGCACGCCATTTGGGAATACCTCAACGACCGCTTCCTCAACAAAACCGCTGTGGGGGTGGCGATCCTCATCCCCCGCATGTTTCAAGTGCGTCTAGAAGAGTGCCCTGGAATGGCAAATTACGTCGCTAAGATTCAAGGGATTCATCAGGAGCTGAAGCAACTCGGCATTGTCTTTCCAAAGCAAGCCCCTGCAGCAGCTCTGCTTATCGGGCTGACCCCCTCTTACAATGTCACCCGCTCCATGCTTCTCCATCTCCCGCCAGAAGAGCTAACCTTTGCCAAAGTCTCTTCCGCACTTCTCTCTGTTGAAAAAGACAACACAGCGCAGGCTCGTGCAAATGCGCTTCGCGCTCCTGTCCCGGCTCCAGCATCGTGTCCCAATCCGCCACCCATTCGTAACTGCTACCCACCCTGTCCTTACGTCATCAAGATGGGACCCCGTGCGGGTCAGGTGTGCGGCGGCACCAATCACCCGCTCGCCACCTGCTTCAAGAAGAAGGACGACGACTGGTTCGCCAAGAATGGTATCAACTCCAAGCCGCCCAACTGGCTTCGCATGCGCCAGCTCAACCATGTTGAGGCACAGGATTGTTAGGACCGGGCCGTTCATGCCTCTGGTCCTGATGTTCGTCTCAACCTGTTGTTCCCTGGCCTACCCATGATCAATGAAACCAGTTCCCAGTACTCGGCGTCTCCACAAAAACCATCTAAACCACTTGAATTCGTCCTGGACAGTGGCGCGACCCACACAATCCTCCGAGACAAAGAGTCATTCAAACCATACCAAGCATCTATTCCTCTCTTGGGCGCTGACTCTAGCTTCACAACTGTCGCCCATGGTTCCTCCACTCTTCCATGCCCAGCCTTCCCATCTGGCACAGTCACTGGCATATGCGTGCCCACTCTTCGGCACAACCTACTTGCACAACATGAGATTCAACGAGCAGGAGTAACCACTATCTTCCCAGCTCATTCGAATCATGTGATCTCCTTGAGCCCACCAACAATGCCTTCCTTGCACGCTTCACACTGACCACCAACAACCTCTACACACTCCAAGTACCTCCTTCTTTTGAAGCACACTCTACCTCCACCAAATCACTCTACCTCCTGCCGCCAGCTCACCAACCCAACTATTCTATACCACCATCGTCTCGGGCATCCCAACTTCCGCATGCTCTTCGAGCTTGCGTCCAAGAAGTTGCTCCTTCACCTGCCTAACACACTTCCTCCACCCTCCACTTCTCCCGCTCCTCCATGCTTGGACTGCGCGCAAAGCAAACAACGCTAGCTGCCTCACCCTTCCTCGCCCTCTTCTGCAGCCGCCCCGCTTGACCTCGTCCACATGGACGTCTGGGGCCCGGCTCCAGTACGCTCTCGTGGTGGGCACTCTTACTTCCTAGTGCTCGTTGACATCTACGCGTCCGTCCACCTACTCTCCTCCAAAGCAGCTGTTGTCCTCCTCAACCCTCAGGAACGACGCACCCATGGCGGCAAATTTGCCCCAAAAACTCAACCCTGTGTCTACCTCGGCCACAACCTGGACTCTCCCGCCTATCTTTTTCTCAATCCCTCCACCAATCAGCTCATTCGCAGCCGCGATGTCGCTTTTGATGAGTGTCGCTCTTTTTACCTCTCTTCCCCACCCCCCCCCCACTCCCCCTTCGCTTGTGTGGGCTGATTTCGATACTTCACCCTCTCCACCTCCTCTCTCTGCCGCTCCTCCTACGCCCCCCCCACTCTCGCCTTCCCCATCTCCTTCCACTCTCTCTCACCCCCTTTCGCCCACTGGCTCAGCTGCCCGTTCACCTCCGCCCGCGCCTGCACTTCCCCCTGCACCCGCTTCTGCAGCTGCCTGTGAGAGTACAACACCGTTACACCAATTTCCCATTTCATATTTCCTTTCCATTTTATTCTTTTTTTAATCCTGATTCTTTTTGTCTTTATCTCATCTCATTTGGTTTCCTATTCCTCCTTTTCTATTATCCTTTGGTTTATACTGTTATTATGATTATATCACCGACCAGGCTCGAGATGTACTGGCACGCTATATCTAGCGTAATCCTGCCGTAATCCCTTAAAGCCAATAGCCTCGCGTGGCTACACGCAGGGTGATTCTATTTCTAGAATGGTCTATTCTTTTTGATATGATAAACCTGGTTATCTAATGTACTTTGGATGTATAAAAACACCTTGTACTGATTGATAGTGCAACATTGAGCAAATCTTTCCTCGACACATTCGATCCTGTGACACTTGGTAATCAGAGCCAAGGTTTCAGCTCAACGCTTAACCGCTGGGCCCCCAGGAGCACGCGGAGGATGGAGTCGAAACTTCAATTCCTGTAAGTACAAAGCACTTTCATTTAAGTTCTGACTCACCTCTCGCATTTGCACCTGGGGTCCCCTTCAAAGGCGAGACGCCTCGCCGACCATTCGATGGACTGCATCGACGGAGCCGATTTTTTCGCGGGGGCAAACGGCCTCGACCTCGCGAACGCGTCACTTCTGGCGGAACACTCCCTGCGACATTTCGAGGAGTTCGCAATTCGCGACGACCCTAGGAGTTGCGCGGAAATGTGCGGAGCTGCGACCAACGTCAGCCGTCCGATGGGGATTCGACGCTTTAGATCGACCGAGGCGAAAACGAAACCTTCTGAGCGAGTTCGAGTTTCAGCGCGAATGGGAACGAGACCTCGCAATTCGCGACGTTCTTCAGAGCGTTCGATCGTTCGACAGCCGACATTGACGACCGAGAATTGCTGCAGGAAACGAGTCAATCCGGTCACGGAAAGCTGCTGAACGCGACTCAGGAGTGTCTTCAGATCTCTTGGAGTGTGGACCGTCGGATCGACTTCTACTTCAACGGACGAGATGGAGCACGACTTTTGCACCAAGGGAGAATGACGCGCAGAACCAGAAATCAGCCGCCTTCGACATCGTTGAAATCATCTGGATGACCAATTTCGAACTCCTTCATTTGGTGACAGATTTCGCACGCAACGACGACGCAGTGAACCCGTCTCGTCAAAGCCAGCGAGACACTACTTTGTAACAGAATCTCAAGAATCGTCTTCATCAAGAATCTCAGCCATCCGAAGTGATTGATTGGAGCAGTCTCTACATCGACCTCACGAGGCGACACACCAATCATGCGTCGCGATTCTATGTGTTAATGACCTGCGTGGAAAATGTTCCGTGCACGTCACGATGCTTGACAGATTGAGGAGTAATTAACCTCTAATCCGGCAAGTACTCGCTCACTAGCGACCCTACGGCACATGCATTGGAGGTGATTCTACCAGAATCCGAAGCGTTACAAGCATCAGTGTAACTTCGACGATGCAGGAGAACGCCAGGCAACACGAGGTGTCAACAAATGAGGGAGATGCGGACTACTACAACACGATCACGCGCTCTACCGACCGTACATTGGAGGCACGGATGAGCATACCAGGAATTGCTACCCGTGGATACATTGAGGGGAGAAGCAAGTTTTTTTTCATACCCTCAAATGAAACAATCACCGGCAGTAATGGAGCAACCCATGTGTACCAATGTGCACGTGTTCCTGGTAGTTACGCCTGTTACACCCATCAGGAAGACTCTACAGGGAAGAGGGAGTTGATGGATTCTCTCTCAACCGGTACGAGTTGAGAGAATTCTCTACAGCAGCTGCCGCCGTCGCCATCGTCGCAACCGCAGCCGCCGCCGCCGCAGCAGAAGACTCGACACAACAGTCATATCCAAACCCTGATGGATGATTCTCCGCTCAATGGAGATAATGCTGGATTATATTCCAGTATGATCGTAAAGACCCGGTCAGGCACAATACTATGATTTTCAGCTAGTGGGGAGGAGATACCACTTAGCGAGGAAACAATAGCTATGGCAATGCCATATACCCTCAAGAGCATGAGATATTTGCTCTTATGAGGATGGGAGGACAACGGTACTCTACCGGTATACAAGTCCTCATGGCCTATGGCTTTCCTTAAAGTCATAAAACTTGCGTCGCAACCAATCCATCACTAGCACCAACTCCACGTAAGCAGATAGGCGTGAAATGGAGCGCCGACGCCACTCTGGATAGTGGACTCCGCGTATCTCCAACAACACCCCTGTTTGTCGAAATGGAGCAGACTTCAACACTGATGCTGAGTAGCTGAGACGTCTTCGATATCAACGCTACTTCAAGGAACCGATGCCTACCGATGGCCTCCGTGCTAAACTGGAAGTGCATAAGGTCATACTGGATTGGCTGGCAGCAATGCCCATTTGGAAATGGGAGAGGATTACTTGGGAATACCCCTAACAATCCCAGATATCCTAACCCATCATCGTGGGATATCTACGCAGCTGAGATTCCTTGCTTGGGCAACCACCGAGGGAAACTTCACTACCTTGGCGCCGATTCTTGACGTTACCAGCTCCGCGTTTGTGGTACCAACCCCTCGCATGGTTTTGAACACAAGGGATACGCTGAGCAGCACTACGATGCCGAGTGTGTACGACTCGCGACAACACCAAGGCATGGACCATCATTCGACAGAAGCTGCATGTGTCGGATACAACACTTCTACAGAAGCTGTACTATGACATGACTGCCATACCACCAACACTTCGTGATCTTCACACGTGGACCAGATGCGGGTAACAGCATGCACAGATTGGACAACATAGCCATTCATCTGCACGTTACAGCATACCGTTCCAACCATTCACATCTCCAACTACAACTTGCACCTGCCCATATATCACTGACGACGATACACACCATCCTTCCTTACTGTGGACGGAGCTCGCTCATTCCGTAGCAACAGACAGTTCTTGCTACAGCCCAACCTGCTTACAATTCCATTGCCATGTCATCCGCATACCATCCGTAGACAGACGGACAGACCGAGCGTCTCAACCAAATTGTAGAGCAACTACTCCGCGCAGCCTGCAAGGACGAAATCTTCAAGTGGGACTTGCATCTGCCCGTCCTGAAGTTTGCCTACAAGAATGCTACTCACGCCGCTACTGGACAGACGCCATATTTCCTCTGTTATGGACGCCACCCGATCGCCACCGCACAGACCACACCATCACCGTGGGAGACCGAATACTGCTCGACACGCGCAATCTTAATATCGGCCATCTCCCATCCAAACTGCGACCTTGCTTCTGCAGGACTATCCTCTTTGAAGCAACAGTCACTTCATTCACCTTCCGCTTCCACCTACCAGCCACTTGGAAGATCCATAACGCCTTCCATACCAGATTCTTAAACCCTATCGAGACCAAACACGCTCTACACTGAATGCCAACCACAGTCGCCGCCCGTGTTCGTCCACGCCATGGGACAACTACGTGCCCGGACAGCGTCGTCGTCAGAATGGCACTCTGGAGCTTCTTCTTTGCTGTAAGGGTTCTGATACTTCTGAGGCTGTATCTCTGAATTCGACATGGGTAACGCCCGTCGTCCTCTTCGCGACTACCTTGTCAAGCAGGGTGTTACTTCTACCACCCTCCTTTCAGGGGGGGAAGTGTGAGAGTACGACACCGTTACACCAATTTTCCATTTCATATTTCTTTTCCATTTTATTCCTCTTTTTATCCTGATTCTTTTTGTCTTTATCTCATCTCATTTGGTTTCCTATTCCTCCTTTTCCATTATCCTTTAGTTTATCCTGTTATTATGATTATATCACCGACCAGGCTCGGGATGTACTGGTGCGCTATATCTAGCGTAATCCTGCTGTAATCCCTTAAAGCCAATAGCCTCGCGTGGCTATACGCTGGGTGATTCTATTTTTAGAAGGGTCTATTCTTTTTTGATATGATAAACCTGGTTATCTAATGTACTTTGGATGTATCAAAGCACCTTGTACTGATTGATAGTGCAACATTGAGCAAACCTTTCCTCGACACATTCGATCCTGTGACACTGCCCCTCCACCTCCCTCTCTTTCTACGCCTCCCCCCGCCCCTCCATCTGCGCCTTCATCTCCGCTTCCGCCTCAAACCTCCACCTCTTCTCCTGATTCGCCCATCACCTATCGTCGCCGACGCCACGGACGCTCTAATGTCGACGTTCCACCTCCTCTCCTGTCCCTATTGCTCACCACACCTGCTCTCATGGTCCTGCTCCGCATCTCGCCCTCTTTGTTCGCATCTCCCTCAATCCGCCTCCTCTTGCCGGGGGTGCATCCATGCCTGGCCTCTTAGAGGATAGGCATGAGGAGCTCATTGAGATCAGTGCTGCCATCCGTCAGCTCTGCCATCTCTTCCCCGATCTTGCCGACGCTCTAACTCTTAACTTCTCGGAAAAATCCATCCATCCCAACCCCGAACTCGTATGATGAAGCCATCTCTGGACCACACTCCCCTCAGTAGGTTGCAGCCATGATCGCACAGTGTGAAGCATTCATTCGTAACAACTCTTTCATGGAAGTCTCTCCTCCGCGAGGAGTTAACATTGTCCGTGGCAAATGAGCTTTACGCGTCAAGTAGCTGCCTAGCGAACTCCCAGTCTTCAAAGTGCGATACTGTGCAAAAGGCTTCACGCAAAAGAAGGGCCTGGACTTCTTCGACACATTCTCTCCGACAGCCAAACTGCCAACACTACGGACCCTGCAGGACATTGTTGCTCGATGCAACTTTGACGTTCACTCCATGGACGTCTCTACTGCATTTCTCCAAGGGGATCTCCCTGAAGACATCTACATGGAACGTCTTCAAGGATTTCCTTTACCCTTTCCACCCGGCACAGTGTGGAAGCTGAATCGACCAGTCTGCGGGTTGAAGCAGGCTCCTCGAGAATGGCACAAGAAGCTGAAGGCAACCCTTGAGTCACTCGACTTCCACCCCTCCTCAGCCGATCCGAGTCTCTTCGTTCGCAAGAACGAGAACCCGTTCTTCATTCTCGTCTACGTTGACGATATGATTCTCGTCTCCAAGGACTCCGATCAGCTGGCAGCTGTTAAGCAAGCTCTTTGGGACACTCTCGTCATGAAGGACCTCGGGGAACTCAAGAACTACCTTGGGATGGAAATCTCGCGAGATCGCGAAGCTCGCACCATCACTCTCTCTCAAGAGTTCTATGTGAACAATGTCCTCAAGCGTTTTGCCATGGACAACGCCAAGCCAGTGGCCACTCCCCTTCCCTTGCAGCATGATCTGACCGCTCCATCAGTTCCATCGCCTGAGCCTTGTAATGAGGCATACCCCGAGCTCGTCGGATCACTCATGTATGCGATGATGTGCACAAGGCCCGACCTCGCCTACCCCATCAGTGTGCTCTCACGTTACGTTGCTGCCGGTCGATACACCAATCGCCACTGGTCGGCTGCTAAGTGCATCCTTCGCTACCTCCAAGCCACCAAGGACTACGTCTTCACTCTCGGTGGCACGACCCCTCCTCACCTCGAGGGATATAGCGACTCCTCATGGGCTGATGATCAAGCAACTGATGCCCCGGTGCAGCAGCTCTTCCCAATGCTATTGCTTCAACCTTGGCAGTGGTGTCATCAGCTGGCGATCTACACGCTCATCATCTAATTCATTGTCATCCTGCGAAGTTGAGCTATATGCAGGCACCATGGCAGCCCAAGAAGCTCGATGGCTTACGTACCTCATGGCTGAGCTCGGGTATCCTCAGCAGACCCCGACTCTGTGGTGTGATAACGAGAGCACCATCCACCTCACCAAAGACCCTGTCTTCCACCAACGAATCAAGCATATCGAATTGAGACACTTCTTCGTGCGCCAGCTCATCCAGCGAGGGCAGTTGTGCGTCAAGCATATTTCCTCTGACTACAACCTCGCCGACTTGTTTACGAAGTCTCTTGGACGCCGTGATCACTATCGTCTCCTCCGTACCATGGGATTTGGCGTCCCTACGGCTTCTGACGTTGCAGCCTAGGGGGTGTGTTAGAGATAGGATGCAATTCGGTTGGCACAACTTTGTGTGTAGGCACTTTGTTGGTTTTAGGGATATCCATATTTGTTAGGTTGGGTGTAGTTATGTTTTCATTCCCAACCTATCCCAACCCAATCTATCCCAAATTCCCACGATTTGGGAGGATTCCCTTGGGATTCCCTCCGATTCTCCCTTATCCTTTCCCATCTTCTTCGATGCTAGGTACTTAAGAATGTATGCTCTTGCTCATTCTATCAATGAAGTTCTCACTTTCTGACAAGAGCAATAGCAAGGGACGGCAGAAGAAAAATCTTTAAAAAGAAAGAGGGGTGCCGTGCGGTGTCATTGCACAGAGCATGTGCACGGTTGGGAAGAGGAAAGATGAACGTGCAATGATGCACATGGTGAACTGACACACATGTTGAAATGGATCATGGGTCCCTCCCAAGAGTGCGTGCTGCTGTGCCACTGGGCCGCACACATACCATCACTCTGCTGCTGCCCCCAGCGTGAGTAAAAGGAGTCGGAGTGGTAGTGCTGCTGCCGCTGGTACTGACCCCCGCTGCTGTGACCATCCTGCAGGGATCAAAGGAAAAAGAGAATCCAGGGGATAGGTGCAGGGGAAGATGCAGCAGAAAGAAAGAGACACACACATGGGAGCAAAGGGAAGGAAGAGCTACCGGCATCATGCACCATCCAAGCTACGTTTATGATCAGGCTACGCCAATGCAATGTGCACCTCTGCCTCGCTTCTCACCTTTCCCCCAATCATCACCCCCCCCACCCCCCTTCCCCCTCCCCCCCCTTCCCCCCTCCCCAAAATTCACCCCTTCTTCACCATTCGCCCCTTCCTTCTCTTCTCCTTTCCTCTCGGCCTTCGTAAGTTTCCACAGTGCCGCCACCTATCCTCACTCGCACCTCATCGAATCGCGTGCTCATGGCACGCTCTGTGCTGTGCTCACCTGATCGGGGCCGTGACTATCAAACCTCTTCCGCTTTGCACGTCCGCATCCCCCCCCACACACTCCCCACACCTCCCTTGCCCTTTCCACACTCCACCCAGCCTTCGTATCTTTCTGCACTGCGCTCTCCTACCCTCACACCTCATCAAGTCACCTTCCATTATCCCATACCCACCCTACTCTAATCCGATCAGGACCGTATCAGTCAAGCCCCTCCACGCATCCTCCTCCCCTATCATCTCATTCCCCACTCCGCCCCTTCGTAAGTCCCACACAGGACACTCCTATCCTCACACCCCAAAAATCGCCTCACAGCAACCCCTGCTCTCACCTGGTCAGGGCCGTATCGGTCGAACCTCTTCCTCGCATCCTCCTCCCCCACCATCTCGTACGCTGCCTGCACCGATAGGAACCGCTCGTGAGCTGCCTGCGCGCCCTGGTTCTTGTCCGGGTGCCTGCAGGCGGGGGGGGAGGAGATGGGGGAGAGAAAGGAGGAGGGGGAAGGGGGGTTTGGGGGGGGGGGGGGGGGGGGGGGTTGAACATTTGTCAAGCCGCTAGGAACCGCTCATGGGCTGCCTGCGCGCCCGGGTTTTTATCCAGATGCATTGAGGGGGTGTGGGGTTGAGGGGGGAGGGGGGGAGAGGAGCGAGGAGGGTGCGGGGAGGCGGGGGAGTGGGGGGATGGGGAAGATTTCTAGGGGGGAAGACACCGTGCACCATGTGTTGCGGGTGTGCTTATAAGTCGAAACAGAAGCAGGGGGGAGGGAGACAACGTGCGTGCAGCACCATGCGTTTGAAGTGGAAAGAGGGTGCATAAGGGGAGGGGGGGATGCTATGGTGTGAGTGTGTGACATAGAAATACGACAATAACATTTGGTGCTGTGGGGGGGATGCTGTGGTGTGTGTGCTGTGCGGGCAAGAACAGTTGGTGTGAGGGTAACAGGAGGAGGGCGATGGATAGAGAATGGTTCAGTCAGCTGTTCCCTTCCCTTCCCTTCCCTTCCCTTCCCTTCCCTTCCCTTCCCTTCCCTTCCCTTCCCTTCCCTTCCCTTCACGTCACTTCAGTCCCATGGCTCCCCTCGGCTCCCTGCCTGCCCTCATCCTGAGCTGTTGCGATGAAACGGGTTAAATCCGCAGCAAGCCAACCAGAGAAATCCGTTCCTGATCTATAGATCTAACGGACTACTAGTTAACCACTAGGTAGGGAGAGAAATTTGAGCCCCCCTACCTGCCTTCATCCTGAGCCCCCCTACCTGCCTTCATCCTGAGCCCCCCTGGAAACCATTCGATCATTCCCCCTCCATCATTCACTCCTCGCTCTCTCACTGCTCTCGCCCACTAGTCCCTCTCACTACTTTCTCGCCAACTGCTCACTCTCTCTCTCTGCTCTCTCCCCCTGCTCTCTCCCCCTGCCCTCTTCCCGCTGCCCTCTCCCCCTCTGCCCTCTCACCCACTGCCCTCCCTCACCAGCGCCTGGCGAGTTTCTTATATGCTGCGCGGATATCCTGCTGGGATGCATCGCGAGACACGCCCAGCACTGGTGAAAAAGAGGGGGGAGAGGGAGGGCGGGGGAGGGAGAGGGGGGGGAGAGGGGCCCGGGGGGAGAGGGGGCAGGGGGGGGCAGGGGGGTAGGACGAGGGAAAGGGGTGAAGCGGATGATTCACGGGTATATGAGGAGGTTATGATAGAAAAGGTTGTGATGCAAACGAGAGTTATCATAAAAGAGGGTGAACGAGTAAGGTGGTCTGTGGTTACAGCGCTGACAATGGATACCAGACGAATAAGGCCCCAACGTGGGATATGGCAGGTGATAACTGAGGAGAATAAAAGAGGGAGGAGGAATGGGAGGGGCGAATAGAGGAATCTGAGAAGGAATACTCTTTCGAAGTGACTTTTGCTACATTTGAGTCGACTCAAAAGTCTCGTTCGAAGTGGGGGCCAAGGGAGAGAGGCAGGAGGCGAGGGAGGGAGGGGCGGAGAAGCGAGAGAGAGGGGAATAGGAAACGCCAGAGGAATGGTCAATCAGTGACAGAAGGAAGGGAGATCGAAGTGAGCAGGTCCAACGTACCTTTGTAGGGATCGCGCACTTTGGTGCACGCGACGAGAGCAGGCGACGGCAGGAACGGCAGATCCAGCAGCAGCAGCAGCAGCAGCAGCACAAGGAGCAGCGCCACCGGCGCGATTGCTACCGGCAGTCCCAACGGACGGTTGGGATGACGCGCCATAAGAGCTCTTTCGAAATCAAGCGCTCTTCTCGGACGGCTCAACGGTCACAGCATGAAAAATCAGCAGCAGTCGTTCAGGTGGAGCGTCGGTTCAGCAAAGCTATGCAGTTGCACCACCCAGCACCGAAGCCAACCGGAGCAATTGCAATTCAGCCAAGTCGCATTCATACGCTGTTGTTAGTCCCCGCGACGTTCGTCCTATGGCGTTTTGAGACGTCTTAAAACCCGCATCCATACGCTGCGGTTAAGTGTCCCCAGCGTTCGCTCCGATCGCCCGCGACGCCGACACAGGAAGCGGGTATTCGCTGTACCTCAACAGACTGCTGAATATGGATACCTCTGCTGATATTACTGCTAATACCTACGCCAATTCCTGATAACCGCCGCCGCAGAGATACGAAACGCCTGGAGCGATCCCTCGCTACTAGTACCGTCCAGAGAGACCGTCTCTAAGGAACGTACGTTGAGACGTCGCGCGGCTTCGATAGCACCGCCCGAACAACAGCAGCCATCAGCGTGTTCTACGCCTGGAAGGATACGTGTGATGCAGACGCCGAGATGGCGAGGCTCTTCTGATCACCGAATCTGTACGCGTTTGGAGCTGGTAAGTTGGGAAAGGTTCGCAGATGTGCAGCCAACCATCACTAGAAGGTTGCTCATGAAATGAATTCACTAATAAGGTCCCTTCTCTGCTCATTTGTTTCAAAATTTCACATGATTTATTATGTTGCATAATATTCCTTGTACATGTGAAGTTTATATATGTGTGATATACTTACAGCACCATTTTACAGGGCACCAATACATTTCAAACTTCATATGGTACAGGCGAATAAGGTCCCCAATATATTTTATTGGGGCAAACAATTTGCAAGCGGAAAGTCGCTAACGCGTACATCTCAGAGAGACCCCCCTCTGGGCCTGGGCCCAACTGTTGCACATATCTTACCTCACCTCACCATCGCCATTTCCCAATTTCCCATGTTCCATGGCGCTGACGTCATACTCCTACCACATCTTGCGCCGCTCTCCGTCTCTCTCCCTCGCGCGCCCAATCTCTGCAATCACCACCACACGGTCCGAGTCAAGCTCCTTTCGGTTCCTCTCGGCTCCTCCCCGTCAAGCGCGCTGCGACGTGCTTGGTTCTCCCAGCGCTTTATCCCTCAAGGGTGCCTGCTGGGAGACTGCTAAGTCCAGTAGCGCGCCGCGCCGCATTAGACGGCCTGACACTCAACCCGGCATCCCCTCTTTGTGAGTAGCGTTTGCAGGTTTTAGAAGACACTCTTCTCTTGACGCATTAGCAGCTGTTTTTCGCGCATTAGCAGCTGTTATTCGCGCATTAGCAGCTGTTTTTCGCGCATTAGCAGCTGTTTTTCGCGCATTAGCAGCTTTTTCTCGCGCATTACCAGCTGTTATTCGCGCCCGACACTCTTAGCATTTCTCTCCGCCTGCCAGTTTCCGTGATTTCCGTGATATGCCACGGTCACCGACGGTATACACCGACGGTATACCGTACATCACTCGCGTTGCATCTTATTCCGTTACGCTATCCCGGACGCTACTATATACGCCCACATTCTGAATGCCTGTACCCAAGGTCATGGGCACCTGCATTCACCGTTCAATCAGTACGCCGGATCTCAACCGTCCGTTTTCCTCCCTCCAGAAGCGCGGGCCCTCGGCGCAGAGTCCCCTGCGAGGCGACTCTTGAGTCGACTCATGCTCTTGAGTCCTCTGCTTCGGTTGAACACCCATGCTCGCATTCTGTTTCTCTCCCCCAGGACGGCCCTCGGCGCAGAGTCCCCTCAGGGAAGGCAATTCAGCGCCAGCCGCGTTGTGGCGATGGCGGGAAGCAACGAGGAAGCTGCGGCCAAGGCGGCTTCGGCGGCGGCTGATACAGGCAACCCCACCATGTGAGAGGGGGGGGAACTTGGGGGGGAGGGAGATTGGTTGTGGCAGGGGGGGCGGGGGGGGGGGGGGGGGTGGAAGGGTGGTTGTGGTCTAGGCAGGGGGTTTATACTTACTGCTGTCGGGGTTCGTTGGACGAAATAAGCAGCCAGGCATGGCAGGCAGGCTCCTTTCCTCCCTGAAAGCCCTTGAAACCTCCCTGATTTTCTCTCGCTAAGTCTTGTGGCGGTTGGCCTGTCTCTTCCCTTCTCTGCTGTATCCTCTCCTCACCTGCTGCTGTTCTGCTGTGCGATGCTATTCTGCTGTGCGATGCTATTCTGCTGTGCGATGCTATTCTGCTGTGTGATGCTATTCTGCTCTGCGATTCTATTCTGCTCTGCGATGCTATTCTGCTCTGCGATGCTATTCTGCTCTGCGATGCTATTCTGCTCTGCGATGCTATTCTGCTCTGCGATGCTATTCTGCTGTGCAATGCTATTCTGCTGTGTGCTGTGCTGTGCTCCCTGCAGATTCGATAAGATAGTGCGCAAGGAAATCCCTGCCAATATCGTGTATGAGGACGACGAGGTGAGAAGGAGGATCAGAGCAGGTGCTTCTGACCAGCATCAAGCCTCTGGCCAGCAACGAGCCTTTGGCCAGCACCGAGCCTCTGGCCAGCACCGAGCCTCTGGCCAACACCAAGCCCGTAGCACGCAAGAAGCCCCCTTTGGAGTCGACCCGAGAGCACACAAACACAACAAGCCCCGGGCCCACAGAAAGCCTGTCCCTGTACTTCCCACACCAGCACACCACCGTTGTGCCCGGCAGATAGCAACCCACGCCAGCTGTCGTCCACAGCCCACTGCACGTCGCGTCCGCTCATCATTTGCCATCTATCTTCCCCGCCTTTTGACTTTGCTTTCAGTCAACTCAGAGCTCGTATTCCCTCCCCACCCTCCTTGCATCCCTCTCCTCACCAATATGCCACTGGTGTTGCTGGCAGGTGCTGGCCTTTCGAGACATCAGCCCCCAGGCTCCAGTGCACATCATTCTCATCCCCAAGAACAGGGACGGCCTCACACAACTGTGCAAGGTATGGTGACGCCCCACCCCCACATAGCCCGCCCTCCCCCTCTCTCAATCAGCATCTGTCACAATACATGGTCATGGCTTCTGGTGTGCCTAGTAGTATCTCATGGTTGCGTTTGACATTGTTCTCTCTACTCCAGAACCTCCCCGTGATAACTTCGGCTCTCCCATCTCCATCTTGTTTGATCCCCCCTTTGATTCCTTCACTTCGTTGTATTCTTTGTTTTCTCCCCCCTCTGATCCCTCCACGTCATTCCCGTGTGCCCCCCTTTTCCCGCTCCCTGTGCCCCCCTCGGTTTCCCCCAGGCAGAGGAGCGGCATGCAGCCATCCTGGGCCGGCTGCTGCTGGCAGCGCGGCAGGTAGCGATCAGCGAGGGCCTCGTGCCAAACGGGTATCGCCTTGTCATCAACGATGGGCCCGATGGATGTGAGTGTGGGAGGGATTGGGAAATGGGGATGGAAGGAGGGTGACGGGTGGAGGGAGGACGAGACGGGGGACGAGATGGGATGGTGGAGGAAGGGAGTGGAATGGGAATGTCAGGAAGACTGGATCTTTTATCGGACTTGGTTGCTTGCTTCTATTTGTGCCTCAATCTTCCTATCCATATGTGCAGCACATAATTTTGTTTCCTTGGGCTGTTTGTCTGTTGTTGCTTTATCCTGAGCAGGCCAGTCTGTGTACCATCTCCACATCCATATCCTTGGTGGCCGCCAAATGAAGTGGCCTCCTGGCTAAGTTGGGTGGGAGGATATTTGTAGCGTCTCTACAATAACACTTTATTTTGCCAGTCTAACCTACTGTTATTTGCACGCACAATTGATATGTGGTGCCTATGAACGGATTGAGGGTCCTCTTGTACATGGTAGCTTTTTTAATAATGTCAATTATTTGGTTCTTGTAACAGATACTACACCCACCTGCTAAATCCCAGCTGGGGAAACTCCCAGCTGAAAGCGGCAGGCCCGAGAGGCGGGAAACGGGATCCTCGAGGAACATTTCCCCAGCGCGTCGTCACATCAATGCGCGCAAGGCAAGGGGAGCTCCAGAAAAACAATTCGTCACTTCACTGGTATTGCTCCATCGCCCCCTTGAGACTATCCCATTCTATTCTGCTTCGAACCCAGAGCTCCAACCTAGGTGTTGTTTTCGCAGGAGCTGCGAAATTGCTTCAGCATGCGCCTCGAGATTACCTCCCTGCCTTGGTCTTTCGAAATTCAAATGACGAAACGCCGTCCGCGGGCTTCCCCCTCCCGCGCTGACCCGCTGCTGCCAGTAGATTCTAGCACTGGACCCCCCGTCGAAGCCCCTCAAGTGCAGCTAGATAGCGTCATACCGAGCTCATTTTCTCGTGTTGGCCTCTCTTGCTTTGACAAGGAAGAAGTATCTCTACTAGCAAAGGCACGCGTTGAGCGGGAAGAGAATTTCGCTACTGATTCCGCCTCCGAATTCGCTACTGGTTTCGCCTCTCTACGCCATGGAAACGACTCCTCTGCGACGCAGTGGCCGGTCGAGTCTTTTCAGAAAGTCACTGAAAGAGTACGTTGGACCGCGACGCCTCCGTTGCAAGCCGTCGTTTCTACTCGCTCTCCCTGGTCCTGAATTCAAGCTAGAAAATGTTCACTATCGTTTCATCGTCGTGGCGTCCTGCAGGGTGGATAATGACGACGATCAAGAATGGCAGCCGCCTAGCGACGCCGAACCCGACGCGCCCACCGATGCCGTGAGCGATGGAGATGAGATCGTCGCGAAGGCTTCGCGAAGCAAGAAGACCCCCAAGAAAACGCCGAAAAACGCTTCCGTTTCGGAGAAGAAGACCCCGGCGAGCCGCGGGCAGAAAAAGAGCAAGAAACGAAACCCGCGATCTTCGTCAACTGCCTCGCGAAAGACTGCTCCTGCTGCGGCCGCGGCCGCTGGAGCGTCCGAAGCGAATGCGGTAAAGCACCCTTTTTGTGAAACGATTCCCTTTTTTTATATCTTTAAGTGCTGCGATCAGGCGCACAGAGTGTCGGTTCAATCTGACTGTCCTCCTCGGTGGTTTCCAGGATAACGAAGTGGAGGAGGATCCGACGGTCAACGAGGAAGGGGGAATCCGCGACGTGACGCGCTATGCTTCGTCCCTGCACTGTAAAACCGCCGTCTTCCTTCTTGTAGTTCTCCTGTGTTCAGCAGTCCGCGAAGAAAGTTTCAACTGAAATCGGAATAAGTATGTTTCTTACATCGTTCTCTCCGGTCTGTTGCAGTGATCGTGCAAAACAAACGAGCCAAGGACGTAGAGGGGGCGGCCAAGAGATGGACTCGGCAGTATGAGAAGGAGTCTATGACTGCCCTCTCGGCCCTTCTGATATTCCACTTCCAGGTGGGCCGAAACTGCTTATCTTCAGCTGCTTCTCGCTATATGCTTGAAACTTAAACCGGAGCCCGAGGCTTTATTTCAGCCTTACGTATGACGTAAAGCTATCCTTCCGGAGCGGTTGAGATTCCGGGAGTTCTGATGCTGCTCTGGCCTATCTGTGCAGGCTTGCGGGTGGAGGGGATCTGAGGATATTTCCAGCCACGTTGGCGATGGTGACGTGGACACTGTCGTGCGGTTCCTGGTGGATCAGGCCAAGGAGGTACACCATTCCGTTACAAGCAGTATTTGTTCAAAAATCGACAGCTGCGTTTGCTTCTGTGAATCAGTTTCTTTTCTGCGAAGAGGCTTATAGTGGATCTTTTCTGGTGATCTGCAGGGCGAGGTGGAGGACATGCTGGGCTCCGCCTGGCCGCACGCCAAGAGCGTCCGTTCCTACAAGGCGAATCTAGAGACCTTCTGGCACAGCCTTCTGGTAGAAGCTCAGGACGGGCTTCTGTTTGATGGAATATTCATGGAGAAATGTATCAACTACGTCACCCTCCTGGCATGGTGAGCATCTCTTCTGGAAGTCACAAAGCTTTTTACTGTTACGGTGCGTAGGTGCAGCCAATCTGACATGATTGTCCCTCCCATTGTTTCTCGCAGCAAGGCGCCTAGGGTGTTCCGTATCATCTCCACCCTAGTGGGCCTTCGCATGGTTTCAACGCTGGTCGAGATCGCCAGCACCATGGGCGAAGCACGGGCAACCACGCAGAGGCAGATTAATGCAGAAGCAATGAGGAGTGGCGGCAAGGACGAGAATCCGCGCATGGCTCTTCTCAGGAGCACGTTGGAGAATCTGCACACCAAGATTGTGGGGGTAGAGGAGATGATGACCCAGCTCTTCTCAGGGTAAAGGCTTTTTCCCATGCACCCATCCACTGAGCTCCTTTCCACAACCCTGTACGAGACATGTCATTTCCTGATTTATGCAACTCTTATGTGTACTCTTCATTTTCCGTCTCAGCTTCTTCACTCTCCGCTTCCGGGATGTGATGCCAGAGATTCGCGGCGCCTGTGTGGCATCCCTTGGCTCATGGATCTCCGGCTACCCCAGCGTCTTCCTGGAGGATCGCTACCTCAAGTACCTCGGCTGGGCGCTCAGTGATCATGTCAGTTCCCAGTGACTAAGTGAGACCCCAATAAATCACCAGATCGGTTCCCAGTGTTCAGCTTGGCTCTTTCCTGCTTCAACGCGCACTCCAGACTTATTCCAATCTGGCCTTGCACCTGTTGTCTTAAGCCAATACCCTGGCACGTCCTCGCTGTTGAATACTCCCAGGAGTCATATCTCCGCTGTTTTCTCTATGCTCTTTGTTGGACATGGCAGGAGTCCATGGTGCGGCAGAGCAGTCTGCAGGGGCCCAAGGCGCTGTACGAGGAAGAGGAGCTCATGGGTGTATACATGGCTTTCTCCCTCACTTCTCTCTTCGTTTCTTCTTGCAATCACAGGAGTCGATGGTGCGGCAGAGCAGTCTGCAGGCGCTCAAGGCGCTGTACGAGGACGAGGACTGCATTGGCGCGCTTAGCCTCTTCTCAGAGCGCTTCTCCCCGCGCATCATCCACATGGCTGATGACGTGGACGCCAGCGTGGCAGTGACGTCCATTCAGGTTGCAGGGCTCCTGCTGAGGTGAGGGACCATGGAACGTTGGCCAATCACAACTTGGTGAATTACCCCCTGGCCGATTGCTGCTTTGCAATCTCCTGTCGCTCAATCCCGTGTCTCTCCGTACCCTGTCGTCCGGCTACTTGTTGCTCGAGCTTCACCTCTCTTGTCGTTTTTTTCTCATTGCATGCAGGCATCAGTTGATATCATTGGAGGAGGTGCGGCCTGTGCTGGAGCTGATTACGGACGACCTGCGGGCCGTGCGCCTGGTGGTTGCGGACCTAATTGCGGACTACTACCTCCCTGCTAAAGTCGCAGAAGCTGCACAAGCCTCTAACGGTCAGTGCCTTGCTATAGCCGCACTGAAGCAACCTGCTGTGTTTCCCTTCCCTACTGCAACCCCCATCCCACTGCGTTTCTGCCAAGTGGCTTCCAACTACGCTCGTATGCTGAAACGACTCTGACTGGCTTTCCATTCTCTTTGCTTACGCACTGACTTCTGCGTCTGATGTGTGTAACGCAGACGATGGAGCGAAGGGAAGGCAGGAGCGGCAGCTGCAGCCGCTGCTGGATCTGGTGGGGGAGTTCACGAGCAGTGACGCTCACATGGACATGCTCGTGGACGCCCTGTGGGACAAGTGCCGACTGCTGCAGGCGAGCCGTCTACCCGCCTGCGCACAGCTATGGCGCCTTACTTACTCGCTCAAGTAGAAATCCACGCTCCTTAGTGGGGTTGTTTTACATTTTCCTCACTGCGGGATAGGAGTTTTCGTACTGAGCCTTGCATATGTCCGCTCTCTGTTGCAGGACTGGAAGCTGATGGCTAAGTCTCTCCTGGCAGACCAGGGCGGACAGGGGAAGGGCAAGAGGAGAGAGGTGAATGGGGAGTCCCTCTCCCTGTGCCGCCTGCTCCTAGCATGTGCCATGCGTGGCACTGCTGCGAGTCTTCACACCCACCGTATGGATGGTGCTGCTCCTGGGAGCGTCCCTGGGAGGGCAAAAGGGCTGTTCGGGTCTCCCAATTCAGCTCAGAAGACTCCTTCCAAGAAGCAGCAGGTAGTGTTTAGTTAAGTCACCTGTGGGTTAAAGTTCAAGCGTGAGAGGCTTGCATTTTTTAAGTGCCATTCACGCACAACTCAACGTTGACGTACATATTTTGACCCGATTCTTCCGGATTTGAAAGCACTGCCTCATCTCGACTCGCTCTTGTGTTGTGCGTGACTGCAGGAGGGCGCGGCAGTGCTGCAGGGCGAGATGACAGGCGCACTCATGAAGCACCTTCCTGGCATGGTCACTCGCTTCCTGGCCGATGCTGACCACCTGCACCTCGTTCTCTCCATCGCTCCTCTGCTGCAGTTCGACCTCTTCGCCACACGCCACCAGGAAACCGTGAGTCCTTCTTGCGCCTCCTCCTACCCCTCCTCTTCAGCTCCACAACTTTCTTCTGTCCCAACCTTTCTCACGTAGCTGCCAACCCACTCCGTCGCACTCGTCTGAACTATGTCGTCAGCTATTTTACCGTGCTTCATTTCCTCCGAGCCTCTTGTTGAACGTTCTTGCTGTCAAGTTCCTCGTTCAATCCTCTTGTGAATTCCCACCACCCGCCTTCCCGAACCCCTGAGCTCGGCAGCCTCCCTGCGCCACACAGCAATGCCCATTCCTCCGAGGTTCCTCAAACTCTATTCCCCACCCCCACACTTTTGCCCCCCAATCCCCCCCAATCCCCCCCCCCACACCCCCACAACCCCCCACACCCCAGAGCTTCACCAGCCTCATGGCAGCCCTACACGACGCGTTCCTGCGCCACACAGCTACGCCCATTCTCGACGCAGCCATCGCTGCCGCGGCAGCAGCAGTGGAAACGGCGCCGGCAGAGCTGAGGGAGGAGGCGCAGCGGCTGATGGACGACCTGTCGATCGTGGTGCTGCAGCAGCTGGGGGAGGCTGTGAAGTCATTTGAAGAGGTAGGTGCTGGTGGGTGCTGATGGGTGTTGAGTTTTGCTTTGTGGCGCCTCAACGGAGGAGGCGCAGCGGCTGATGGAAGACCTGGCGATCGTGTTGCTGCAGCAGCTGGGGGAGCCTGTGAAGACGACCTTCGAAGAGGTGGGTGCTGGCTTTATTTTCTAGGCGTCTCAGAGGAGGACGCGCCTGATGGACGACTTGGCGATTGTGGTGCCGCAGCAGCTGGGAGAGGCTGTGAAGGCGTTTGACGAGGTGGATGCTGGGTTGTGGTGGTGTGCATTCAGTGGTAGCTGCTGCTGCTGCTGCTGCTGCTGCTGCTGCTGCTGCTGCTGCTGCTGCTGCTGCTGCTGCTGCTGCTGCTGCTGCTGTTCATTTCGTGTCAAAGCCGCCTGATGTGATACGTTGCATGCTTGTCGTGCTAAGCTAATCAGAAGAACCTGATTTCCTTTGCTGTGCATTTCCCTTCCCTCCCCCCCTCCAGGATGACGATGACAGTGTGAGCGCTGATGGGGACTTGGACTGCCTGCTGGCCTCGCTTGCCAGACTCCAGGCGCTGCAGCTGGCTAGCAGGGCAGCGCATGCCGGCAACCGTCACAGACACCCTGCACAAGAGCATCTCCAAGCCCCTCGCGGTCTATCTGTCCCCCCCCCCTCCAGGATGACGATGACAGTGTGGGCGCGGATGGGGACTTCGACTGCCTGCTCGCCTCGCTGTCTCGACTGCAAGCGCTTCAGCTGGCAGGGCAGCGCATGCCGGCTACAGTCACAGACACCCTGCATAAGATCATCTCCAACCCGCTCATGGTGTCATCTGATGAGGTCAGCAGACCATGGGGTTAGCTGGCTGAGTGTGACGATCTGGTGTGTTCATACTAGCGGGATTAGCTCATTGAAAGCGTGCATTGGCTCGTAAACTGTGTGCTGCTATTGCGCCTTTCCTTTGATCCAGAACTGCTGCGTGCCTGCCTGCTGGCCTGCTGTTGCTGCTGCTCCCCCAATTCCAGGTACAAGCAGAGGCGCTCACTTGCTGCTTCCTGGACGTCGTTGCAAGCTACGGGGACATCACAGCTGAAGGCGTGAATGAGAAGGAACCGGCTGACATCACTGCTGATATCACACGGGTGGATGTGCGCCTGCGCTTTCTGCTCCTGCACCTGGAAACAGCCATCAAGAGCGTCTCCTCCTCCTCGTCGCACCAGCGTGCCACACCTGCTCGGACTTTCAACTCCAAACGTGCTGCTGCGTCGTCAGGAGCCAAAGGAGCGTCGAGCACAAGTGCCCAATCCATGGTTAGTTAGGCTTACCCGGAGGGCAGGGCCTCCGCTGCTGCCTCTCTGCCAGGCCTATTCACTGAGCGTTATCAAGTTACCACATTTTCCCGTCACTGCCGCTGCTTGGGTCATGAACCCCATCCCACCCTGCTTGCTGTTTGTTCTTCTCTCTCACGGCTGCAGCTGGTGCACCTGTGCTCTGACGTATGGTCCGTCTGCTCCCCTGTGGTTAGCAGTAGAGCGAACTATCACTAAACACATTTTGTCTTCCTTTCTGCTTGCTGTCTGTTTTCTTCCACGGCTGCAGCTGGTGCACCTGTGCTCTGACGTGTGGTCCGTCTTCTCACCCTCCAAGCTCAACGGCACACCCATGCAAGCCCTGGCGTCTGCCCCCTCTGCTTCCAGTGTCGAGGCCTTCTGGCAGGCATGCCTTGGCGTTATTCACACGTGCTGTAAGCATTTCTTTTCCTTTCTGTAACTGAATGCGCCCCTGGGTTCAATCATCGTAAATCAGAAGGTTTGATCCGCTTTCGCCCTGCTGGATGTGAGTAAATCCTAGCCCTAAACCTTTGTGCCTGTGGCTGGTGCAGCAAGCGCCCATGGGGAGCAGCTATCGCATGGGGATGTGGCGGTCGTTGCAGCAGCCAAGCTCATAGCAGGAGGGCTTCTTCCACCAGTGAGTCTTGCAGCTAACATAAGACTTTCGGCAGCACGGACCCTCAAAGTCGCACTACCAGCGTCACCATGCATACTACAGAAGCTATCCTTCCCTCCGCCTGTCTACACCAGCCTCTTTTCCTGCTGCTCTGTCTCTCTGCCTCACTGCCCTGTCCCACCTCCCTGCCCCTCTACCCCTGCTCCAGGCGTATCTGGCCCCGCAGCTCCTGGCTCTGCTGGTGGGCCATGGGTGGGCGGCAGCAGCAGTGGTGAAGTGCATGGTGGAGCACATGAGACACAGCAGCACTGTGACGGACGAGCACATGTGGAAGCTGTGCTACGATGCCACACGCCTGGTACGTAACAACGGAACCCTGAAACCCTGTAACCATGTAACTCTGCAGGCATACGAGCGGCACCTGAAGGAGTTAGGAGAGGACGAGGACAGTGAAGCGGACATGGAGTCTTACCTAATCTGCAAGGAGCTCACCCCACAGCTTCTGCTGCTGCTCTGCAGCGGCCTAGCAGCAGTGCGCAGTGCAGCCGGCAGGCTGATTTCCTCTTCCCCCTGGCACACACTCCCACCCCTTCACCACCCACCCTCCCCCTCTTCCCCCTCTCCCTCCTCCCCCTCCCTCCCTGCAGGCATACGAGCGGCACCTGAAGGAGTTAGGAGAGGACGAGGACAATGAAGCGGACATGGAGTCGTACCTCATATGCAAGGAGCTCACCCCGCAGCTGCTGCTGCTCTGCGGCGGCCCAGCAGCAGTGCGCGGTGCAGCGGGCAGCAGGCTGAGCGACGCTGTGCAGGCGGTGCTGTCAGCTGCGGTGACGGAGGGTGTAGGGTTTGTGCTGGAGGATGCAAGCCGGAGGATGCTGTTTGTGGACGTTGCAGTGCTCATGTTTGCGAGGAATCTCAAGCCGGCCACTGCTGCTCCAGTGTAAGTGATTGTAACCCCCCCCATTCCCAGCATCGTTTGTGTCGACTCATGGAGTACCGTAACGGCGTAACTCCCTCCCGTCTCTCCCTGTCTATCGCTCCACCTCCCTCCCTCGCTTGCTGCTTCCTTCTCTGTTTTCATCACCATATCCATGCTCGTCCTTTCCTGGATTCCTCTTCTTCCAACCCTTTGTGAGCAGCCTGGCTGAGCTTAAAACGCGTACAGCCCACCTAGATATGGACGATGATCCTCAGCACTGGCGCCCGCTGCTCACCCTGCTAGACTGCCTAGAGGGCAAGGCTGGTAACCACACGGGTAACCACATGGGGGCGGGCGGTCAGGCCAATGGAGGAACGAGGAACGGGCAGGGGGGAGGAGAGGGAGAGGAGAGCGCAGGGGAGGAGGAGGATGTCGTCATGCCGACCATGACGCCGCCCAGAGTGAATCAGCGTATGGGAAAACGTGAGTAATGCGACGGCTGTTGATCTCTGTATCTACCTGGCTCCCCTTTCTTTTTTAAACACTTGCGCTATTTCTCTATGCTCTCACGTGTCTATTCCGCCTCCACTTATCCTCATTCGCCCTAACCTCCTTTCTGGTTCCCCGCAGGTCACAAGAAGCCCGCGCACAAGACCATGCGGCGCAGGCCCAGGGGAGTGGAGGCTGGGAAGGTAACGTCTGATGAAGATGACGAGGCGGAAGAGGCAAGGAGCAGAGGGAGGGACTACGGCAGCAGGGAGCCGCGTGGTGGCAGGATTGGTGCGAGACACAGGGGCGCTGGGATTGACACTTCACGTGCTCCCGAACCAACTGCTGCTGCTGCTGCTGATGTTGCTGATGCTGCTGCTGCTGCTGCTGCTGTTGTTGCTGATGCTGCTGCTGCTGCTGATGTTGCTGATGCTGATGCTGTTGCTGGTGCTGGTGATAATGAGAGCGATCATGACAATGAACCTGGAGACGCTCCTGCTGCAAGCACTGCAGCAACTAATGCAGCAACCACTTCAGCAGGCAGAGGCATGGGGCTGGTGTCTGCAGTGACGTACTCACGCAAGAGGAAGCTGGCAGCGAACAGAGAGATGGAGATTGAGGAAGACAAGGGGGGAGATGGAGAGATGGCGGGTAAAGGAGAGATGGGAGGTGAGGGAGAGAAGGGGGATGCGGAAGACAAGGGGGAAGCAGGCAACAAAGGGGTTGACGAAGGGGCATGGGACATTTTCAATGAGGATGAGGATGAGGGGGAGATGCGCAGTGGAAACGAGACCTCGGCTGGGAAGCAAGGGGCGCAGAAGGCAACGGCTGAGGATGTTGCTGCTGAAAGTGTTCCCATTGATGCCATGGATACTGCGGAATCAGAGGAGGACGAGCGAAGGGTGTCAGCTGCAGGCGGGGGTGCGGCGAGCGCGGATGAGATTGGTGGGAGCAGCGGGAGCAAAGGAGGTGGGAGCGATGGGGATGAGTGGGAGGAGATTGATATGCAGGAGATGGCGACATGGCAGCAGGATGACGCTGCAAAGAAGGCGGAGCTGGATTCGGAGAGGAGGAAGGAGAGAGAACGGAGGCAGGAGGAGGAGAGGGAACGGAAGGAGGAGGAGGAGAGGGAACGGACGAAGGAGAGAGAGAGAGTCCAAAAGCGGGAGAGGGAGAGAGAGAGAGAACGGAAGGAGAAGGAGATGGAGAGAGTGAGAGTACAACAGGAGCAGAGGGAGAGAGAACGGAAGCAGAGGGAGAGGGAACAAAAGGAGGAACGGGAGAGGGAGAGGGAGAGAGAACAAAACAAGGAGAGGGAGATTGAGCAGGAGCAGCAAAGGAAGAGCACCCGCAGCAGGAAAACTATGCCTGGGGAAGTCAGTACGGAAGTGAGCAAAAGTGTGCAGCAGCAGCAGCAGCAGCAGGGAGCTGGTACAGTGCCGGAGCCAGTACCAGTAGCAGTGGCGTATGAGCGCAAGAGAAAGCGAGCTATGGACTCTGAGCAGGAGCGAGGTGATGGGAACGTGGACGCTGGGCAGCAGAAGCAGCCTGTGACGACCTACCCACGTGCGAGGAGGCAGGCGGGTGCTGACGCGGCAATGAAGGCTCCTGATGCGGGCAAGAAAGGTGCAGCGACCGAGGGCGAGAAGCATGAGACAGGGAGGAGGTTCGGGAGGGAGGGAGGGGAAGAAGCTGGTATGAGGGATGCGAGAGGGAAGCAGAAAGAGGAGGAGGAGGTAGTGACTACAGTGGCCGATAACCTGCTGCTGAATCTGAGTGATGAGGAATGCTCCCTGTCGCCCTTGGAGTTGGGTGGAGGGGAGAGTGAGGAGAGGGGCGAGGTTGCTGTGTCTGCTGCGCGCTGGGGTAAGGACGTGAGAGGTGGGGTGGATCGGGAACACGGTGCTTGCAGTAGGGGTGCTAGTGTGAAACCTGCTGGTGGTGCTGGTGGTGCTGGTGGTGGTGGTGGTGGTGCTGCTGCTGGTACTCCTGTTGGTGGTGGTGGAAACGGGAAGACGAAGGGAGAGACAGTAATCGAGGAGGATGCAGAAAGTGAGGAGGAAGAGGAGGGGGATGAGGAAGAGGAGGAGGATGAGGAGGAAGGAGAAGAGGGGGAATCTACCGAATGTGACAGCACTGAGGGTGAGGAGGAGGAGCCGGAGGAGAATGTGCAAGAAGTAGCAGTTAAGGCTGCACAGGGGAGGGCTGCAGAAGCGAGGGTTGCAGGGAGGATGGGTGCCGAAGCAAGAACCAAAGCACAGGGCGAGGTGGGGACCAGGGCACAGGGTCTAGCAGCTGCTGCTCAGGTGCAGAGAGGGGGAGAAGAGGCCGCCGCCCGTATGGGCACGTCGGGTAATATTCTGGAGCGAGCAGTGGCAGCAGTGGCAGCGAATGCAGCACGGATAGAGAGGAGCATGGTGATGGAGGTAGAGGATGTGGAGGAGGACGAGGACGAGGACGAGGAGGATGAGGAAGAAGAGGACGAGGAGACGGAGGAGGAGGAGGAGGACGGGGAGGATGAGGAGGAGGATGGGGAGGAGGAGGAGGGCGACGAAGAGGGAGAGAGTGATGAAGGGATGGGGCAAGAGGGGAGGAACAGGCAGGTAGGGGATGCGCAGAGCAGGGGCAAGCAGGTCGCGCAGGGGATGCGCCCTCCCAGGGGTGCTGAAGCAGCAGCAGCAGCAGGAGCAGCAGCAGCAGGAGCGTCAGTGGCAGGTATGGCGGGGCAAGCCAGGAGCAATGCGGCTGTTGGGGCTGCTGCTGCCAGGGGTGAAGGGTTGGTGAGTGGAGGGGTGACCAGTGGTAGTGGTATGGGGGGAGTGCGTGCAAGGGCACAGACGGAGATAAGTGTGGAGGATGGGAGTGGAGAGGAGGAAGACGAGGAGGAGGAAGAGGAGGAGGAAGAAGAGGAGGGAGATGAGGAGGGGAGTGAGGAGGACGGGGATGAAGAAGGAGAGGAGGAGGAGGGGAGTGAGGGCGAGTGGGAGGAGATGAGTGTGGATGGTTCTGCATCTGTTCGGGTGTCTGAGGCGAGTCAGGCTAGGGGTGCTGGTGTTGCTACGGCAAAGGCAGGCAGGCATGGGGAGGTGCCTGTGAAACGAGGGGAGGCTACTTCTGCTGACATGTCTGCTCGCATGCGCCAGCAGCAGGCACAGCAGCAGCAGCAGCAGTTGCGGCTGAGTCAGCAGCAGCAGAAACTGCGGCTGAGCCAGCAGCAGAAGATGCGGTTGAGTCAGCAGGAGGACGTGAGGCTGAGTCAGCAGGAGGTGCGATTTAGTCAGCAGGAAGGAATGCGTCTGAGTCAGCAGGAGGAGATGCGGCTGAGTCAGCAGGAAAAACGGACGAAGCAGCAGCACGAGATGCGGCTGAGTCAGCAGGAAGTGAGGCTGAGTCAGCAACAGCAAGAGATGCGGCTGAGTCAGCAGGAACTGCGCTTGAATCAGCAGCAACGGGAGATGCGGCTGAGTCAGCAGGAACTGCGACTGAGTCAGCAGCAGCAACGCGAGCAGCAGATGCGCGAGAGGATAAGGCAGCAGCAGCAGCAACAGCTACAACAGCAGCAGCAGCAGCAGCAACTTCAGCAGCAGGTTCAAGCGAGGATTAGGCAGCAGCGCGAGCTGGAGCTTCGGCAGAAAATGGGTCAGGGCCAAAGGAGGGGCGAGGGGACTAAGAAAACGCAGGACGTCGTAGAGCTGTCGGACGACGACGAGGAGGAAGAGGAGGGGGATGAGGAGGATGAGGATGAGGGGGAAGCCGGGGACGAGGAGGAAGGGAGCGAGGAGGAGGGAGGGGAGGAGGACGAAGAGGAGGGTGAGAGCGAGGATGGGGACGAGGAGGACGAGGAGGAGGATGAGGATGAGGATGACGATGACGATGAGGTGAGTGGGACATTAGTCTGCGACAACGTCGTTCTTGAGTTCGCGAATCGCCAGCACAGTATAATTTGTTACAACCTGAAATTCTTTTCCCGCTGCGTTGCTGCCATGCCTGACTGTGGCTGTTGCTGCAGGTGAACTCCCCGAACTGACAGCTGAGGAGTGTACCACGTGGGAGAACTCGAACAGGCTTTCGCGCCATTCGGGAGTCACCTTTGTCCGCGTTTGAAAACGTTCCGATGTGAATGTTTATGCCTGTGTCAATTCCATGCGTTGTTTTCCATGCACTTTATCATCCAGTTCTGTGTGTTACTGTAAAATACGTGTCTTAGGATTCACCACTTGCTTCTCAATGTTGCGGAATGTGGCTGTACACATAATAGCACGCTAATATTTCTCCGAACTATAAACATAGCTCTAAAAGTAGGTTTTTCAAATTTCAACCATCCTAAACGTGCTTAAGTTTTCTTCATGGGTATTGTTTTGCCCAAAATTCTTTTGGCACATTTCATTGGTTCTCGTGCGTTGTAGTTTGGTACATGTATGTCAATAGCGAGCTCCATTTCTGACACACACCAGACCAGACCAGATCCCTCTCCATGGTGACCATGTGCTGCGCTGTACCAGAGTATTTGCGTTGCGATACACTCTGGTTGACTACGGTGCAGTTTGTTGGTCATGGCATACTTCACACCACGAGATTCGACAAGTGCCTGGCACCAATATCTAGGGCGGCTTTGTTCAATTCATCAGTTCAGTTTAGGGACCGCTTCAGTTCGCGAGGAACTCAAGATTTGCTCTTACCTTGACGCTTCATTCAATCCCGCTATTCTCGCGTCACAACGCCGATTGGCTTGGGTTTTCTAAGGTCAGTCGAATCTACCTGTCCGAAACACCCGATCTCGAGCTTTCACGCCGTAGCCCTGCCGATCTGCTGCCGTTACGCTAGTCTCACCGTTCGTTCTCTCTCCGTCCGCTCGAAGGAGATCAGGTCATGGCTTCACGCCAGCTGCATCCATTGATACTTGTAGATTTTCCGCAACCAAGCTCACTCTGTCTGTCCTTCCTTCTGCTCAAGACAACAAGCCGTGCCGTTGCCGCAGCTGCAGCTGCTTTGATGCAGTGTATATCATGGCCGTTAGGAAACAAACTCTAGCCTGTCCGTCTGTCCCTCTGTCCGTTTGTCCGTCTGTCCGTCTGTCCGTTTGTCCGTCTGTCTGTCTGTCCGTTTGTCCGTCTGTCTGTCTGTCCGTTTGTCCGCTCTCCTCAATCCGTTCAGGGTGCCAGGCGATGGCGTCGCCGCAGCTACAGCCGCGGCAGCCTGCCGCCGGGGGAATGGCAGATTCTACCCGGCCGGCAGCCGTGAACCAAGGCTACAGCCTGGCTTCTTCGTGGGAGCACGTAGGTTGGGGGAGTGGGGGGGTCGGGGTAGGAGGTGGGGTGGGGGGAGGAAGGAGGGGGAGGGAGGGAAGGGGAGGGGAGGGGAGGGGAGGGGGGGGGGGGGGGGGGAGAGGGGGGAGGGGGGTGGGAGAAGGGTGGGGGAGGTGGGGGGGGGTGATGGGGGGAAGAGGGGAGGGGAGAGATCAGATTGTGTGGAGTTAGGTCGGGGAAAGGAGGGGGGGCTGCATAGCATCAGGTTAGTTGGCTCGTTGGGGAAAGTAGGGCCAGACTGCCATGTGTTAGTGGAAGCGAGTATGACCAGTGGTGTGCTTGTCTTCTCTCCGCACAACTTTCGAGTCGACTCGGAAATCGCTTGCCTTTGCTTCTTGGGGCCCTCCCGGCCTTCTCCCTTCCATCCCCTCCTGTCCCATTCCTCCTCCCTTCGCACTCCTCGCATCCTTTTTCTCTAGATAACCACCTCATATTTCCCCCCCCCCTCCCCCCCTCTCCCCCCTCCACCCGCCCCAACGCCAACCCCCCTCTCCCCCACCTCCCCTAACATTGCGACTCAGAATGCGCCGCTTTCAGAGCGGCAGCTGGCGACAATCGCGATGCTCGCGAATGTGGCTGGTAACCGCTCCCTGCCAGCCCACCTGGTGCGTCCGCCCTGCACGTTCCCCCTTCCGCGCTCCCTGCCGCGCTCCCTGCCGCGCTCCCTGCCTCGCTCCCTGCCGCGCTCCCTGCCTCGCTCCCTGCCTCGCTCCCTTCACATCGCTGCTCTTCCCACCTCTCCCTCCTTCCCATCACACCGCTCTTCCCACCCACTGCCCACTGCCCACCTTATCCCTCTATTCCCTTCCCCACCACCCCACTCCGTCGCCCCCCCTCCTGTTGTGACCTGCAGTTTCTTCCGCACAATCATCCTTAGCCTGAAACCTACCATACAAATGACTTTTGAGGCGCCTCAAAGGTTGAAACCTACCATACAAATGACTTTTGAGGCGCCTCAAAAGTTGAAACCTACCATACAAATGACTTTTGAGGCGCCTCAAAAGTTGAAACCTACCATACAAATGACTTTTGAGGCGCCTCAAAGGTTGAAACCTACCATACAAATGACTTTTGAGGCGCCTCAAAAGTTGAAACCTACCATACAAATGACTTTTGAGGCGCCTCAAAAGTTGAAACCTACCATACAAATGACTTTTGAGGCGCCTCAAAAGTTGAAACCTACCATACAAATGACTTTTGAGGCGCCTCAAAAGTTGAAACCTACCATACAAATGACTTTTGAGGCGCCTCAAAAGTTGAAACCTACCATACAAATGGTCCCCTCATCCCTAATTTTGAGGCGCCTCAAAAGTCAAAACTAGACTTCTATCAAATGGTTCTCTCATCCCTTCCTCCTCTCCACGCTGCATCTGACCTTTCCGAACCACCCTTCATCATCCCTGTTGCCTGTCCCTCTCCACCCCTTCCCCCCCTCCCCCCGATTCCTCACTGTTGCTGGGTTCAGGAAAATGACGGCAAAGAGGGGCGGGAAGAGGGGGCAACGAGCACAGCGACAGCAGCAGCAGCAGCAGCAGCAGCAGTGGAGGGGGAAGGGAGTGCGGATGATGGGGAGGAGGGCGAGGAGGATAGCGATGTGTTGCTTCTAGTCAACAGCCACCAGGTCCCTCCCTCCCCTCACCTCATCTTCCTCTCTCTCCCTGCCGTCCCCTGCCCTGCCACATTCCCCCCCCTCCCCTCACCCCGCTCTCTATCTTCCTCTCTCGGTCGTTTCTCCGTTGCTCCCTGCCCCCACCCCTCCCTTTTCCCCGTCCCTCCCCCCCCGCCTTTTCCCCCTCCCTTTCCCCCGCCTTTTCCCCTCCCTTTCCCCTCCCTTCCCCTCCTTTCCCCTCCCTTTCCCCCTCCCTTTCTCCCTCCCTTTCCCCCTCACTTTGCCCCTCCCTTTCCCCTTCCCTTTCCCCCTCCCTTTCTCCCCCCCGTTCCCCACCGCATGAAACTCATTCCATCTCATTTCATCCCATCCCACCGCAATGTATCCCATCTCACCCCTCATCACCCCGTCCCGGCTGCCCCCACCCACACCACTCTGTGCGTGTGCTGCACTGCAGTTCTACAAGTGGCACTCGGACCTTGAAACTGCCATGAAGTCGGAGGTGAGCGGATGGCAGGGAGGAGAGGGAGGAGAGGGGAGAGACGGGGGGGAAGGGGGGGAGGGGGGAGATGGGGGGGAATTTGTGGGAGGGGGGAGAGGGAGGAAGGGGAGGAGAGGAAGGAGAGGGGGGAGAAGGGGGAGAGGTGGGGGAGGAAAGGGTTGGAAGGGAGGAGAGAGAGGGGAGGGAAAGAAGGAGAAGAGGAGCAGGATGAGAGAGTGCGACGAGAGGTAAGCATGGCATAAGGTTGGCCGCACAACGTGGTTGAAGTCAAATCACGTCTCTAACTGTCTTTTCTAGCTTTCTTTCCTGTTCCCCCCTGTGGCCCCCTGTCCCGCTGTCCCCACTGTCCCCCCTTGTCCTTCTCTGTCCCCCCCTGTGGCCCCCTTTCCCCCCTGTCCCCCCTGTCCCCCCCTGTCTTCCCCGTCGCCCCTGTCCCCTCCTGTCCCCCCCTGTCCCCCCCTGTCCCCCCCTGTCCCCCCCTGTCCCCCCTGTCCCCCCCTGCCCCCCCTGTCCCGCCGCCACACTCCCCCCCCCACTTTGAACCCGGGTGCAGACAGAGGAGAAATACTGGCAGGCAGTATGTATGTTTGCTGGAAACACAGATGCTTTTCCAGTCGACTCAAAAATCCCCTGTCCCCCCTGTGCCGCTTCTCCCCCCCTCCCCCCCCCACCTCTTTGAACCCGGGTGCAGACAGAGGAGAAGTACCGGCAGTATGTGTGTGTGCTGGAAACGCACCTGCAGACGTGCGACCACATCCTCATGCAGGTGTGAATGTGGGGAGAGGTTGGGGGAACGGGCCCTGGGGAACGGTTAGGGAACGGGAGAATAGAAGGCGTATCGGGAAAGGAGGGCAGAATTACCGGCAGTGCGTGTGGGCTTGTGCTGGAAACGCATTTGCAGACGTGTGGCCACATACTCATGCAGGTGTGAATGTGGGGAGATGGAATGTTTTTTAGTCGACTCAAAAATCACCTGGAATGAGCATGGGTCAGGGGATGGGGGGTTGGAGGGCTGGTGGGAAAGGAGAGGAGGGGGGGGTTGGAGGAAGAGTTATGTGTCAAAGGATGTGAAAGAATGGAGTAGCACTAATGTGGAAATACCAGCAACCCCCCCTCAATCCCTTTCCGAACCTCCCAGCCCCCCTGCTCTGCTCCCGTCCGTCACCATCCTTTCTAGTCAGTCCTCAGCTGGACTGGACGGCACACACAACACACTGTCCCCCACTTGGTCGACCTTTTTTGAGGCGCCTCAAAAATAGACTCTATTCAGTCCTCAGCTGGACTGGACCGCATACACAACACACTGTCCCCCACTTGGTCGACCTGCAAGCAAACGCAACACCGCGACGTGGCGAGCAAGTCAAGCTCGCTGCAGAAAGTTTTGAGGCGCCTCAAAGCAAGCAAATGCAGCACCGCGGCCTGGCGAGCAAGCAAACGCAGCACCGCAGCCTGGCGAGCAAGCAAACGCAGCACCGCGGCCTGGCGAGCAAGCAAACGCAGCACCGCGGCCTGGCGAGCAAGTCAAGCTCGCTGCAGAACATTTCGCCCTCCAATCCCTTGTCCCAGCTCTCCAGTCAATCACCCTCACCATCTCCCTCCCCCCCCTTCCTTCTCTCTCAGTGGGACAGCATTCTCTCCCAGTTCGCTGCAGGGCAAATCCCCTTATTTACCCTCTCGCCCCTTCCAAACCCCCTCCGCCCCCTCCTTCCCCCCACCCCCCTTCCCTCAAGTAGACGGCACTCTCTCCCACACAGGCATGCTGCACAGCAGGATTCCTTTCAGTGCAAGAAAATACCATTCCCCCTCCCCCCCTCCCCCCCCTCCCAGCTGGACGGCACGCTCTCCCAGTTCGACGAGCTGCAGGCACAACACCGCGGCGTGGCGAGCAAGACGAGCTCGCTGCACGACGCGTGCCAGCGCCTGGTGCTGGACAAGGACCGCCTCGTGGAGTTCGCGGATGCCCTCAGGTCCAAGCTCAACTACTTCGAAGAGCTCGATAAGGTGGGGGGGGGGAAGAGAAGGGGGAGGAGGGAGGGGAGAGGGGGGTAGAGGAGGAGGAGGAGGGAGGGGAGGTGGGGGGGTATGGGGGAGACAGGGGGCTGGGGGTGTGAGAAGGGAAGGGGCAGGGGAGGACAGTTGCTGCTACTGCATTGCTTGATCGTTGATGGCAAGGAGAAGCAGCATTGCATGGCGTAGGCGTGGCATTGGTTGGCAGCCCATTGCTTTTCGTGTCCTGCTTGCTGTCAGTCACATGCCCCCTCCCAGACCAAACCGTTCATGTGGAGTGGTTCCACATCGTGCGTCTGCTCTGGATTCAGATCCCACCCGAACTCACCCCCTTCCCTCCCCCCCCTTCCCCCCCACTCCCCGCATGCTTTTGTACTCTTTTTTTTTTTTTTGGGGGGGGGGGGGTGGGGGGGCTTTCAGTGATGCCAGCATGCATGTGGAAGAGCAGACTTTTGAGTCGACTCAAAAGTCAGCATGCATGTGGAACAGCACTGTTCTTCTGAATTCTTTCACATTCCGCTTGCCACCTTCCCCCCCCCCCCTCCCCCCCCCCCACCTCATGCTCTCTCTCCGTCGCTCTCCCTCTCTCTCGCCCTCTGTCATTCCCACTTTGGTTTCATCCCATCCCATCCCATCCCACCCATCCGACCCCATCCCATCCCACCCATCCGACCCCATCCCATCCCATCCCACCCCATCCCATCCCATCCCATCCCATCCCATCCGACCCCATCCCACCCCCATGCCCCCCATCGCCATCCTCATGGGCCCCCCATCGCCACCCCCATGGGCCTTCCATCGCCACCCCCATGGCCATCACGCGGCACCAGATCACAGCTCGCTTCCATTCAGCATCCATGAGTGTCAGCAGCTCGCACTTCCTGCCGCTGCTCAAGCGCCTCGACGAATGCATCACGTGAGTCGCACGGCCTTCCAGCATCGCGCCAATCAGACTGCTGCTGTTGCAAACAACTCATTCATAACCCGCCGGCTCAAGCGGTTTCACAAGCGTATCGTGCTTCCGACTCTGCGTCGGATCTGTTTCCCCTCTCGCTCTCTTAATGTCTTGACTTTTCATACCTCCCCTCCCTCCCCCCCTCTCTCCCTGCCACTGCTGCTATGCAGCTACGTTGCGTCCAACCTCCAGTATGCGGACGCCAACATCTACCTGGTTAAATTCAGACAGCTGCAGGTTTGGCCATGCACGGGGTGGGACCATGCATGGGGTGCTGTTTGTTATAACGAGTTTGCGTGTGAATTTCAGTGTGTGTGCTATACACCTGTTCTCCTATTTAGTCCCACGGATTTTGCACGCGACTCGGGACTGAAAGCAGGAAATGGTCGAACCCGGGCAAACGGGACATGGAAGGGGAAAATCCAGAGTAAACACTGACACTTGGTTACAAATTCTCGCTCATGCAGTAGATAAGTTGCCCGCGCGACCTCCCAGTTTTAAAACTCGAAATTGTCGAAACTTGAGATGACTGGTCGCTATTGCTCAGATAGCAGCCAGTCAGGTTCAGTGTCAACGCGAGTCATGCTGAGAACATGGTAGGTGGGTTTGAAATTTGGACTGTTCCGGGTGGGACAATAGAGCAAAACAGGTGCACTGTGCACACACGTCTATCTGTTCTTTCGCTTTCGCCAGCTGTCGTGCTTTCTGGACCGTTCCTTCTTCCGCTCTCTCCTCTAGCATCCTCCATTCCACTCTCCTCCTGTTCTCTTCACCTATGTCCAACATCCTTTCTTCTTTCTCTTCCACCAATCCCACCCCATCCCTCCCCCGCCAGTCGCGAGCCCTTGGCATGGTGCGCTCGCATGTGCTCTCAGTGCTCCGATCAGCCGCCAACCAGGCAAGAACTACCCCCTTCCCTTACCTCCCTTGTTTTAGAATTCTCTTGAACCAACTTCAACTTCAACTTCAACTTCTCTTGTGCGAGCTGCAAGCTTGGCATGATGTGCGTGATAGGAGTCTAGTTTTGAGGCGCCTCAAAACTATGCAAGCTTGGCATGATGTGCATGATAGGAGTCTAGTTTTGAGGCGCCTCAAAACTATGCAAGCTTGGCATGATGTGCGCGCATTTGCTCGCAGTGCTCAGGTCAGCCGCCAACCAGGCAAGCAGCCCCCCCTTACATTACCTCTCCCTTGTTTCAAAATCCTATTCAACCAACTGCAAATTCTGAGAGTGGTCAGAGCGCGCTGCTCAAGTGCGAGCTGGTCAAGGCGAGCTGGTCAAGTGCGAGTGGGCCAAGTGCGAGCTGGTCAAGTGCGAGCTGGTCAAGGCGAGCTGGTCAAGTGCGAGCTGCAAGCTTGGCATTGGTTCACTCGCATGTGCTCTCAGTGCTCAGATCAGCTGCCAACCGAGCAAGCCCCCCCTTCCTCCATCCTTGCCGTTCTCCCTCCCTTCCTCCGCACCCACACTCCTTATCGCCTCGAGTCTGCCTGCCTCTCACACCTTCCCCCCTCTCTGCCCTGTCCCCTTCTCTGTCCCGTGCCCACTTCCCTCCCCCCCGACCCCCTTAAAAATTTCCGTTTACTCGCTTTGCTTTTCCGCTGCTTCCTCTCGCTCTCCCCCCACGCCCTTCCTCCCTCTGCCGGGGCATATGGGGAGTGGCATGGCAAGCACGTGGACCTACGCCTGACTGCCTTCGCTCCAAGACACTCATTGATGCCAATCCAATCCAACCTTTCCCTCAAGTTTTGAAGAAGTATACTCAAAACCCACCGGGAAGTACCACAAACCACAACATCACCCCTCCCCCCCCCCCTCCCCCCCTCCTCCCTCCCGCACTCCCCCTTGCCGCAGGTTCTAGCAGCGATGAAGGAGAGTGGGGTTGCGGCAGGGGGAGCGTCGGGGGGGAGAGGAGTGGGGGGAAACATTTCGGAGGGGGCAGAGACCTCGCTGCTTTATGTGCGATTCAAGGCTGCTGCTGGCGAGGTGAGAGTGGGTGGGGGGGAAGGGAGGGCTTGAGTGGGGGGAGAGATGTGGGGGAGGGGGGGGAGAGATGTGGGGGAGGGGGGGGAGAGATGTGGGGGAGGGGGGGGAGAGAGCACAAGAGGGGAAGGGTGGGTGGGGAGGGAGAAGGGGATGGGGGATGGGAGGAGGAAGGAAGGGGGGAACAGGGAGAGCGAGGGGTTTAGGGGGGCTTACTTGGGGTGAGGAGGCAAGGGAGTTACTGGCGGGAGTTGAGAGAAAGTAGTGTGTGATGGAAGGAAGGAAGGGAAGAGGAGGGGAGTGAGACTTGAAACTGTGAGGCAAAAGGGTGGAGAGGTGGAGAGGTGGGGAGGGATAGCATTTAGTATTTAGCATGGTTACATGATTGCATTTAGAAGTTATCATGGTTGTGATTGAGTTATTGCGTGCACCCATTTCCCTCTTCCCCCTTCCCCTGTCCCTCTCTCTTTCGTTCCATCTCAACCTTTCCTCCTCGCCCTCCCTCCCTCCCTCTCCATCCCCTTACATCTCGAACCCCCATCATACTCTACGTGTGGTTACAACCATAATCAAAACGCTTAAAACGACCATACTCCACGTCTCCTTTTCAGCCTCCTGCTGTAACACTCCCTTCCCCTCTCCACCCCCTTCAACCCATTATCACCGCTCTTCCGTGCACTCTCTTCCTGCTTGTCCTCTCCTAAACACACACCTTGCTACCCTGCTGCCAGATGAAGCTGCGGATGGAAGGGCGGGCACCGAGGAGGGAGTTTCCCAGTAACCGTTTCCCCTTGCTCTGTCTTGTGCTGCCCTTTTCCGCCACTACCCCCCCCCTGTCTGCAGTGCTTCTGCTGCTTTTTCCAGCTGAAGCCGCTGATGGAGGAGATGGAGGGGCGGGCGTTCAGGAGGGAGTTTCCCATGGGCAATCCCTTTTCTTTTCCTCACTCTCCTACTCCCCCTTACCTCCCCCCCACACTCCCCTGCTGTCCCCATTTCCTCTGCTGCTCGTGCTGCCCTGCTGCCCTGCTGCCCTGCTGCCCTGCTGCCCTGCTGCCCTGCTGCCCTGCTGCCCTGCTGCCAGCTGAAGCCGCTGATGGAGGAGATGGAGGGGCGGGCGTCCAGGCGGGAGTACTCGCAGCTGCTGTCTGACTGCCACACCATCTACTGCGAGCAGCGCCTCGCTCTGGTATGTCGAATTGTTCTCTGTGCTGGTAAGGCTGCTGGTGCTATGCCTGGTGGTGGCAATAGGGCTGGCAACATGGGAATAGTGCATCTGTGTCCAGGAAGGAGTACTCGCAGCTGCTGTCTGACTGCCACACCATCTACTGCGAGCAGCGCCTCGCTCTGGTAGGGGTGCTGGGGCTGCTGGTTCGGCTAGTGGTGCTAGGGCCGGTGGTGATGTTGCTGGCAGCTGTGGGACCAGGGGAATAATGTACTTGCTGTCGGACTGCGACACCATCTACTGCGAGCAGCGCCTTGTGCTGGTATGGGCGGTGTGCTGGCAAAGCTGCTGACGCTCTCAAGGCTGCTGTTGTTGAGTCGACTCAGGTTCTTTTACCTGACCCAAGCAATGCCTCTCGCCCTGAACCTCCTACTACCTCCCTCCCCTCCCCCCATCCCCATGTCAGGTGCAGCCAGTGGTGCAGCCAGTGGTGCAGGCAGTGGTGCAGGCAGTGGTGCAGGCAGTGGTGCAGGCAGTGGTGCAGCCAGTGGTGTAGCAGCGCATCTCCAAGCTCTTGGAGTCGAACCAGGCCCTCTTCGGCCCGTTTACTCAGGCCCATTTACTGACTCGGCCATCACCTCACCTTCCCCACTCGCCCTGCCCCTCCTATTCCTCCTCCCCCCCCCCCCCCCCCCCCCCGCCCCCCCCGCCCCCCGCCCCCCGATATCTGCATGACAGGTGCAGCCAGTGGTGCAGCAGCGCATCACAGATTTCGCTAAGAAGGAAACGCTGCCCGCTCTCACTCGCTCCGGATGCGCCTACCTCATGCAGGTGAGAGTTTGGGTCATTTTGAGGTGTCTCAGAAGAGGACTCTTATTAAGAGGGAGGCGCTGCCGGCCCTCACTCGCTCCGGATGTGCCTACCTTGTGCAGGTGAGCAGTGTATTGTAGTATATCGCGAGTTACTAGCCGCCATTGCGGCTGCCTGTGAGAATGGTGCCTGATTCTTATATAGTCAAAGCACCGGCTGCTTGACCTGTTGGACCATTTTTGAGGTGGCTGTGCAAGGCATCCCGCCCTCCTGCCATGCTGCTCAATCTGCGCAGGTGTGCCAGGCCGAGCTCCAGCTGTTTGACCACTTCTCAGTCCACTCTCAGAGACTAATGAATCTTCTGTTCCCACTTCCCCTTCCCCCCCCCCCCCCCCCTTTGTCCCCCCCTGCAACCCGTTCTCCCTGTGTGCAGGCGTGCCATTCGGAGCACCATCTCTTTGACAACTTCTGCGTTGACTCTCAATTCTGAGTTTTCGGTTCTCCTCTCTCCCCCTCCCCGCTCTTCCCCCACACCCCCCTCTCCCCGACCACAGGTGTCCCAGTCGGAGCACCAGCTGTGTGACCACTTCTTCGTCGACTCTCACTTCTGAGTTTGCTGTTCTTCTCCCTCCCCCCCCCTTCCTTCCTTCCTCTCTCCGACCGCAGGTGTGCCAGTCGGAGCACCAGCTGTTTGACCACTTCTTTCCCTCCACCTCGGCTGACACCTCCAACCTCGGCCCACTCATCGACCCCCTGTGAGTTTCACCCAGCCCTCCGTGAGTCGCACAAAACCCCCTGTGAGCCGCAGAAACCGTGTCAGTTGCTGCCACTGTCCGGTGATTTGTGAACCATCTCGAAAGGCCCCTCCGCCTTCCCCCGCATCCCTCATTGCTACACTTCTCCTCCTCCCTCTTCTCCCTCCTCCTCCCCCTCAGTTGCCCACCTCCCCCTCCCCTTCCGCCCCTCCCCACCTCCCCCCTTCTTCTGCACTGCCATCTCCCCCTCCTCCCCCCACCATTACCACATCTCTCTCGTCGTGGCAACCACCCAGGTGCACAGCGCTGTACAACGCGCTGCGCTTGCGCTTTATCCACAGTGCGGCCTAAAACCCCCACCCACCCACCCACCCACCCACCCACCCACTCATCGTGGCAACCACCCAGGTGCACGGTGCGGTACGCCGCGCTGTGCCGGCAGTTTATCCTCTGTGTGGCCTACCCCCACCCACCCCACCCCCGCACACACCCACCCACCCAGATGCAATGGTGCTGTACGCCGCCCTTTGCCAGCACTTCATCCACAGTGCCGCCTCCCCTTCCCCCCCCCCTCTCCCCCCCCCTCTCCCCCCCCCACCCACCCAGGTGCACAGCGCTGTTCGACGCCCTTCACCCGCGGCTCATCCACAGTGCGGCCTCTCCTCCCTCCCCCCTCCCCCCCGGCCCCCCACCCAGGTGCACAGTGCTGTTCGACGCCCTTCGCCCGCAGCTCATCCACAGTGCGGACGTGGACGTGCTGTGCGAGCTGGTGGACATTGTGCAGGCCGACCTGCTGCACCACCACCTGCCACCACCCCTCTCCTCCCCTTCCCTCGCCCCCTTTCCCCCTTCCCCTCTCAAATCGCCACTGCTTCTCACCTCCTCCTCCCCCGCCCCTCCCCACTTCCCTCCCTCCCCCCCCATCAACACTACCTCTTGGGCTGTGGTACCCACCCAGGTGCACAGTACTATACGACGCGCTGCGCCCGCGGTTCATCCACAGTGCGGATGTGGACGTGCTGTGCGAGCTGGTGGACATTGTTCAGGCTGACCTGCTGCACCACCACCTGCCGAGACGCGGCGAGTGGGTGGCGGCGCTGCGCCCCACCATCTCCCGAATTCTGGCGGACCTCAGGCAGAGGCTGATCTTTAGAGCTCATACTTTCATGCGCGATGAGGTGGGTTCATCGCCAGGGAGGGAGGGGGAAGGGGGAGGGGGAAGGGGGAGGGGGAAGGGGGAGGGGGAAGGGGCGAGTGCGTGGCGGCGCTGCGCGGCTGCCCGGCGCGCCCCACCGTCGCACGGATCCTTGCTGACTTGCGCCAGAGGCTCATCTTTAGAAGAGCATGCTTCCATGCCTGATGAGGTCCGAGCAAGGCTCTTTTTTGGAGGGGAGGGGGGGAAGGCAGAGGGGGAGGGGAGTGTGAGGGGGAGGAGGGGGAGGAGGGGGAGGAGGGGGGGGGGGCTGGATTGGGAAATGGGAATCGGGGTAAGGAGAAGGAAGTGATGGCTATCTCGCATCCTGCATTCATCCCCTCTCGTCCTCTTCCACATCTCTTCCATCTCTCCACGCTTTTCCTCTTTTGATCTCCTTTAGCCCCCCTCTCGGCTCTTCTCCCCTCCTCTCCTCTCAAACCTTGATCGACGTGGCCACCAGCAAGGATATCGTCGCCTGTAGTCAGAAGCAAACTGTCGCTCCCCTCTCGCCCCTCTCGCCCCTCTCGCCCCTCTCGCCCCTCTCGCCCTTCTCGCCCCACTCGCCCCTCTCGCCCCTCTCGCCCCTCTCGCCCCACTCGCCCCTCTCGTCCCTCTCGCCCCTCTCGCCCCTCTCGCCCCTCTCGCCCCTCTCGCCCCTCCCCCACAGATCTCCAGCTACGTGGCGCCAATGAAGACCTCATTAATGCTGTCTGCTCTTGAGTCGACTCAAAAGTTTAACATTTTCAAGGATAATTGCAATCTCCCCCCCTCGTCCCCACTCCCCCCCCCTTCAGGTCTCCAACTACGCGCCCACCAGAGCCAGAGAGGACCTTTCGTATCCAGGCAAGCTGTAACGAGCCGAGCCGAGCCGAGCCACACTTCTCTTGCTCTCCCTCTGCCTCCATTTCCCTCGAGCTGCAATGTACCTCTCTTACTTTCCTCCCCCCCCCCCCCCAGATCTCCAACTACGTGCCTACCAGTGAAGACCTTGACTATCCAGGCAAGCTGCAACGAGCCGCTGCCAAGTCTGCTGCCGCCGCTGCCGCTGCTGTGCAGGTGCGCTGTGGAGTGTGTGGGTGTGTGGGGGTGTGGGGTTTGGGTGTTTGGGGGTGTGGGTGTGTGGGTGTGTGGGTGTGTGGGTTTGTGGGATGTGGGTGTGTGCTGTGTGCTGTGTGATGTGTGCTGTGTGATGTGTGATGTGTGCTGTGTGGTGTATGGTGTGGGTGTGCAGTGTGTTGCCTGTGGGTTAGGAGCGTTCAGGAAAGCGATGAGATGTAAGCTGAGAGGGAGGAGAGAAGGCAGGTAAACAGGATGTCAGAGGAGGATGAAGGGAGGGTACCATTTTGTCCGAGATGCACCGTGGGCTATGCACTATGGTTTTATCCGTACAAGCTCTTGCTTGCCCAGCATAGTGCATCCCGTGCTTTGAGTGAGAGGTCTCAGAACTGCGTCTTAAATTGTTTCCACACCTCCTGGACCTCTACACTCTGCTGATACCCGCTTCGCATAGCCCCCCTTACTTCCCTCTGCATACCCCCATGAAATACCCTGGGCACCTCCTGCAGCCCCACATGCACATCCCACCTCTCCTCCCCCTCCTCCCCCCTCCCTCCCCTCCCATCCCTTTCCTTCCCCTCCTTCACTCTCCCTTTCTCATGCTATGTATCTCTCTGCTTTCATCCCCCCCCCTCCTTCCCCCTCTTCTCCTCCCCCCTCCCCTTCCTCTGCCCCCCCCCCCCACCTGTGCCCCTGCACTCTGCTCGCTCCATCCACCCAATAATCGCAACTGCTTTCTCTCTCTCTTTTGCATCGCGTCTTTCCCAAGAGGTGACTTCTGAGTGGTCTCAAAAGCCCCTCCACCCAGTAATCAGAACTGCTCTCGCTCTCTCTTTCTTTCTTCTGTTTTACGACTCCCCCAGGAGGGCGATGCACAGGCAGCAGCGGGCGCGGAGGAGCAAGGGGCGGATTCTTACGCGGGCTGGTACCCCCCTCTGGAGAGCACCCTCGCGTGTCTCTCCAAGCTCTACCGCTGCGTGGATGCTGACATCTTCACCGGGCTAGCACAGGTGAGGGTGTGGTGAGGTGGGCAGGTGAGGGTGCGGTGGTTTCTGAGGCGCCTCAAATGCAGACCCCCTTTCTGGATGGCAAAGTTGCTTGTCTCTCCAAGCTCTACCGCTGCATGGACACGGATATTTCTACAGAGCTAGTGTAGTTGAGGGGAGGGTGAGGGGGAGGTGAGGGGGAGGTCATATGCTGCAGGTGCACATGCGAGAGAGACTTCAGGGGAGAATTCAGATGGCAGTTCAGGTGAGGGTTCAGGTAGGCATGGCTTTCTAGCACACGACTGGTAACATGGTTTGGCGCATGCATTTCAGTTACATGAAATGATGGTTTTCTGTGCTCCTTACCTCTTCTTGCTGCTCTTCTTTCGCCCTCCCCTTTCCATTCTCATTTTTTGAGAACTCTAAGAAGAATTGTTCTCTTTGCTCTCCTCAGCCCTTCCTCAGCTCTCTCTTCCATTCTCTCTGCTCTGGTGTACGTTCCGCCTTCCCTTCCCCCTACCCTACCCATCCCATCTTCCCCCTGCCTCATCCCATCTCCCCCCCCCCTCCCCCCGCCCCCTTTTGCTTTCCTCCTTTTTCTTCCGCGATGGCAGGAAGCGGTGGCGGTGTGTTCAGATTCCATTCAGGTAACGTTGGTCATTATCGTCACACCAGCCACCTAGTACGGTGCCTCAAAAGTTCATCACGTAAGGTTGAGTATCCCAGGTATCATCATACCAACAGCTGCCATGGATGGCCCCTTATGAGTCAACAGCTACTCAAAAGCCAACAGCTGCCATGGATGGCCCCTGCTCTCCATTCTTCCTCCGCTATTGCACTGCCTCCCATTTGCATAGCCCTTTATGCCTTATTCCTTGTGGTAGAAGTGTACTTGTCTCGAGACCGCCTCAGAACTACACTTCTATATCCATTCTTTTTCCACTATTGCAGCGCCTCCCAGTCCCATAACCCCTACGTCACATTTTCCCCCATTTCTGCTTCCCACTGCGCCCTCCCTCCCTTCCTTTCCCGCCTAGTTTTGCATCAGGTTGTTTTTGTTCGTTTACACGACTCCTCACTTTCTGCTCCCCACTGCTCTGTCCTTCCCTTCCTTTTTCTTTCAACTTCCCTTTGCCCCCTCCCCCGGTCTCACAGTTTGAGTTGTTTCACCCGTTCATTCTGCCACATGCCGTCTCCCTTTGTTATCTTTTGAGTTGCTTGCCCTTTCATTGTTCCACGAGCTTTCTCTCTTCTTGAGTCGCCTCAAGAATATACTCATTGTTCCATATGTCTTCTATCTCGCTCCCGCTCCCTCGACCTTACTTCCTTTTCTCTTTCCCCCGTATCATGCCCCCGTCCTCCTTTCTCCCTGTCTCACTTCCCTCTCCCCCCCCCCCCCCCCCCCTTTCTCACTTCCCTCTCTCCCACTCTCCCTCCCTCAAGCGGTCCTTTGTATTGATAGAAGCGAGGTACAAGGTAAGCAAATTGGAGCACGGCAAGCAAGGCGCGTGTATTGGGAGCAGGGGGGGGAGGGGGGTCCTAGCCTCCCTCCCTCCCTCCATCCATCCCTCCCTCCCTCCCTCCCTCCCTCCCTCCCTCCCTCCCTCCCTCCCTCCCTCCCTCCCT